TTTCTTTATTTAGCTAAATATACTTATAATAATATAGTTAATATAACTACTAGTATATCTTTATTCTAGGTATTCCTAGGTTTTAATCCTAACTTCTAAATTTATAGTAGGAATACCTATATTAAAAGAGAGGTACTAATTATACTATATAGATTTAAAAAACTAAATAAACTATATAGGAAGCTATAGATATTATAGTAAAAAGCTACTAAAGTATAGGTAAATTAGTATAATAAATACTATTAAATAATATCCTTTAAGAAAAATAACCTTATAACCTTATTTACTAAAAACCTATAGTTAAAAGAAGAAATTATTAAAAAGCTATCTCTTTAATAGATTAGACTATTTAGAATTTTAGAATATATTAGAAAGTAGGTATACTACCTCCTACTCTTAGATAAATATATTATAATTTATAATATTTTCCTTATTTCCTTCTTTTAATTATAAAAATAAAAAGAAAGGGAATTAAAATAACTACTATTACTAGAATTAATAGATAATAATAAATAGGAGATTAAAGAGATTAAGAATAACTATATTTTTAAAGATAAATTATATTATTTAGTTAAATAGTAGGGTTAGTCTTCTAAATATAACTAATAGATCCTAAAGAGTATAATAACTAATATACTAAAGCTTATTATAAAATATAAAAAGGTATAAAAGATATAAAAGAAATTAACCTAAATAATATCTATATTAGGCTACTATTAAATTATTATAGCTATAGTATTTAATTACTATAAGGAAAGATAGTTATATATTCCTTAAGTATTACCTCTATATCTAGATTATTAAGTAATTCTACTATCTTAAAGTAAGTTTATTAGAATAAAATTATAGTATCTATTTAAATAATAAGTAATTCCTCTAAATTTATAAATTAAGGTTATTCTAAAGCCTATATTATAAAGATATCCTAGGGATAAATAGTAGTATAAGTATCTTAATTACTTATAAGATATTTAGTAATAAAGGCTATATAATTATTATAAATAGATTAAGAAGAAATATTAGTAAAACTATTATAGGGAAGACTAGATTTATCTTAATATTTATAGTAGGAATATATATCCTATTTAAACTATAGTTTCTATAATATACTTTTATAAGGATATTAAAAGCTATAACTAGATTATAAACTATATTTATAATTACTTTAATAAACTTAAAAGGGAAAAGAAACTATATTTCTTTATTATCTTTATCTAATATATTTATAGCTACTCTAAGGGATCCTCTAATTATTAATTAAAATTACTTTACTTAGGAAAGAATTACTAGTAATTAGAAATAATTCCTCTTAATATTAGTAGGAACCTAGTTCTAAGGTTAGTATAAGTTCTATTAGAATATAGCTAAAGTAGTTAAAAAGATATATTAAATTATATATATAGTATACTTTCGAATAATATATATAAGATTTACTATATAGTATATCGATATAGTATTAGATTATTAAAGGGAAACGATAATTATCCTTATCTTTACCCTAATCTTAGTTAGATACTTATATATATAAAAGATACTAGGCCTATTAATAAAAAATAGGGTTTATAATAGTTTTCTAATATATTCCCTTTAAATTAGTAGTCTTTACTATTATACTAAGGATTTAGTATTATTATATAGGTAAAATAATTAGAAGAAGGGATTTAAAGATTATAGAAAAATAGAAGGAAAAGAGTAGTAATTATATTATAACTATAATTACTTACTATAAATCTATTAAAGAAATATAATTATATCTTAAATAATAGCTATTATAAGTATATTTCTTTATATAAATATCTATAAAGAATATAGCTATAGAGGCTAAATTTATATTTCTTTAAATTCCCTATTATTAGAAATCCTATATAAAAAACTATTTTAGATATTTTTTATATTATAGAAAAATATTAATATCCTATAGAATATAGTCTTTATAAAATATATATATTCTAATAGAGAATTAGTATAGGATTAGAAGTAAATTCTAGGAGTCTATATAATATCTTTCTACTAAAAAGATAATATATATCTATATATTATTAGTCTTAAAGAAATATAATAATTATATAGCTATCCTTTTAAAAGAAATATAAAATATAGAGTATATATCTTATTAATTACCTTCTCTTTAAATTATTATATACTACCTTATCTTCTTTAATATATCTATTACTTTACTTTCTTTATTATAGAAACTCCCTAATATCTCCCTAATTCTTTATCTTTTTATCCTTTAATATTTCTATTTATATATAGATATAGATATCTATATAGGGAAGGGGAGATAATTATAATAGATAAAAGTCTATATAAGAGGGAAATATATATAAACCTATATAGGCTTAGAAAGGAATATCTATAATATTATATATCTATTTCGATATTAATCTATAAGGGGTTTATTATATAAATATAGGTAGATAGATTTCCTTATAGTTTAGGACCTCCTAGGGGCCCCTCTGAGACTAGTAAGAATTAGTCTTGGTATATTATTAATATATTGTATTCCCTCTACAAAGCCCTTTATATCTTACCCAGTTGATAGGCCGTATACCTACATAACGTATACCTTTACAATTATTGGTAGTAGTTAAATTAATCAGACCAATTTGCATTATACAGAGATCAGACGATTTTATATTATACAGAGATCAGACGAATTTGCATTATACAGAGATCAGACGAATTGGTAAGGTGATCTGGGAATAGCTTCATTTTTAATATTTATGGATAGATCATTTTTTTTAGTATTTGTGCGTAGATTAGATAAACTAGTCAGGTGATCTAGGAATAGCATCATTTTTGGCATTTATAGATAGATAGATTAGATGAATTGGTAAGGTAATCATGTTTTTTACCAGACTAAAACAAGTGATAAAAACCTGTAATTTATTAATCTTATATAATCTGACTTATGAGCGCCAAGACCTATATAAAATACAAAAATGGGCTAAAATAGGCCCATTATAGGTTTATGGGCTTAGCCCACTGGGCTATGGGCTGGGCTGGGCCTAGGGGAGCTGGGCCCATAGCCCATGTGGGTTGGGCTATGGGCTGAAATCTTGGGCCCATGCTGGGCTTTGCCGATGTCTATTTACATTTCACATGTCACGCCACTCGTTTACATGGCCCACTCGTTTACCGATTACGTTAGTTAGGCACAGGGCCTTCGGAACAACTCTGTTGAAAACCAATAATCTAAAATACAGGAAAAAAATGAACAAATTTATTCCTATCGTAATGAGCTGTCTTCGACTGCTGGCTAGCTACTGCACTTCTGGTATAAAACCAGGCCTATTATTGCCATCATGTAACCTATGATCTCTAAAGTTTTGATTTCGGTTTTCCAAATCAGTGTGGTCGCTGTTATGAGAAAGATATCTTTCGAGATGCCGCAGAGACTGAGGGTGAGAGACGAAGTCTTCTGTATCTGAGCAAACATCAGCCACATCCTGTACCGAAAGATGATCTTACTTACAACAAAAAGTCCAGCCAGGTTCAGCATCGAGGTAAGGGTGCAATTTAGGAGTAGCATTGCCCATACATTCTGAAGCTCCAAAGTAGTTGGAAATGAGGTAAAGGCTGTGATGATAGCCCCTAAGAGTGCACAAAATGGTGCGAGGTGATAGAATAAGGTTGGTGGGTCAAATGTGAATGGGTGCGAGGTGAATATTTTTTGCATTAGTACAAGTCGGGATGAGTCAGAGACAATTCCAATTAATTGCGCTGAGATGCCGTAAAGATCTGTTTGGACAGACTGAAAAGATGCAAGAAAAATTCCAAGCGAGATAAGAAGCAGTGTAGTGGTGATCATTCTGCTGAATTGGGTAATACCAAGAAACAAAGACATCATATAGACTGTGACAGGTGAAAGCCCCTTGAGAATTTGAATCATTGTAATGCTAATATAAGCAACGGCTTCATTGCCACAGATGATGCTCGTGTTCAATGCCACTGCCACGGGGATGATGATTGATGCGTATTTGCGCAATGTCATATCAGTGACAACAAGCGAAGACGTCGGCCTCAAACCATTCAAGACACTTATCGCTATGGTGCCAAATAGCATATGGGAGGTAGCTAGGAATGCCGCTGTATCATGATCTTAGTATTGACACAAAACATGAAATAGTATAAAGCAATCTTACGATATGCTGGAAATTCTGGTCAATTATTTGTCATTAAAAGTCGGGACTAGATGGATTTGCCTTACTAAAGTTCATATCGGTTACTAGCCACTTGTTCGATAGCACAACGGATACACTCAGAAATAGCCACATGCTATTCATTCAAACATTAGATATATTTTCAATGACACATTTCGGTTACCTACGAAACCCGAATCACTGATCCTTGCCTCTCCCACGATGATGTCATGAGCATTGGTATTCTGATGTTGATCATTTTTTATAAAAAGGGGAGATTTTTAATCGATGGTGGCATTAGTGAGAGCTACCAACGACCGTGCCGTGGCTTTTGAATGATTTACTACACCAAAGAATGTCAAATATCCCCCAAATAGGAAAGATGATTACTGTGGGTCCTGGTCAGTTCGAATGTAATCGCCAGGCTTGGCGTCCACTTCTCGCCTTGCTTACCCTTGGCTTGATTAAGTCACAAGCATGAGACACAAAATAAGCACCCATCTCATGCTAGAATACTCTTGGAAATCCTTGGCTCTTGCTCGTTGACAACGGTAGACTGGATATTTCCTCTGTTACCCTCGAAACCCATGCGAAATGATTGAATACGGGCCATTAGAATCGGAACGCAGCGCCATGCAGGCCCCCGAAAGGCGAAAAAACCACATTTGTCAACAAAGGATTTCAATATCTGTATCTCTTCTTTTTCTGGTAGTCCTAGCGTCGGCTTTGTGGTTTGTCCCCGAATTCTTCGACACTCATAGGGAAAATCCCCACCATGAGCCTCTTGCAAAAACCCGGAATGGGACTTTTGCGGGAACCCACAACTTTCGGTTTGATCAAGATATTTTTCTTGGTATGCCTTATGCTCAGGCACCTATCGGAGACCTGCGATTCCATTATCCTCGTTCTATCAACGTCTCGTGGAATCATATTCAACCTGCACTTGAATATGGGCCTCATTGCATTGGATACGGAGTGAGTCACATCCGACACGCGTTCTTCATATCTGACATTATTCACAACGTAGGACCACCAAGAACAATTCAAGAAATCGGAAGATTGTCTCACATTGAACGTTGTCCGCCCTTCGAGCTATAAGCAAGGGCTTTTGCCTGTTGGTGTATTTATATACGGGGGAGGGCGCCATGGGGGAGGATCAGGCGACGGCAGGTATAATTTGTCATACTTGATATCACATGCGGCCGAGGAGAATCTTTCGTTTATTGGAGTTTCATTCAACTATCGGTCATCGATATGGGGGTTCATCTCTGGGGACCAAATCAAAGGTACCCGTAACACAAATCTGGGATTACACGACCAAAGATTAGCCCTGCACTGGGTTCAAGAAAATATCGAAGCTTTTGGAGGAGACAAAAGTCGGGTGACAATCTGGGGAGGCAGCTCCGGTGCTGACTCTGTTGGCCTCCATCTCACTGCATACGGTGGACGCGATGATGGCTTGTTCCGAGCAGCCATTATGCAAAGTGGAGGTCCAATTGTGAAGACATCTTATTCATCGTTCACCCCGGAAGAAATGTATCAGAGGCTCTCAGTGGCCTCCAATTGCAAAGACGTGGAGAATTCTTTGGAATGCTTAAGGCATATTCCACTCAATGATATAGATGCAGCCTTCAATGACTCTGCACAGGCTAACAGCCAGATGATGGCCAGTTTTGCCATTCCAACTCTAGATGGAAACTTTGTTGAAGGATATGGGAGCTTAGCAATAACAGAGAGACGATATGTACCAGTTCCCATCCTCAGTGGAATTGTCTCCAGTGAAGCCGCAACATGGATCCCGCCTCAAATATCCACATGGAAAGACTTGGCCATCTTTTTAACTGGTATGTATCACAGAAGTCTCTTTCTTTTTTTCGATCAATATTTCGACCAGTTTCTTGAATTCTTATATCCCAGTTTGAATTCAACTCTAATCCAACGGCCACTGGCAGAAGATAGCGGCTACCCCAGCTCAGTCAGCGAAAGACTTTTAAGCTATTACCCGGAAAGTGGCGTCGCAGAGACTCTCGAACCTCCCATAGGCTCTATTTCCGACAAGGATACTTTTGAAAGAGTGAAAACAGTTATTGGAGACATCGAAATGAACGCAGCGCAACGGCTGGTTTGCGAGAGTTTCTCAACTTCTGCCACTTGTTTTAACTTTATCTTCAATGCGACACCAGCCTGGCAGCGTGACTCTCGGGTAGGCGTTCCTCATGGTGCTGAGATTGCCCCTATTTTTCAGAATCTTGATGGACTGGGGTTTGACGGGAATTCATTCCATGGAAAGGGGCCTGGTTACTACGAAATGTCGAGCTTGATGGGTACGATGTGGGCTGGCTTTATCACGACTTTAGATCCAAATGCGGGATTAAAGCAAGGTGTTTATAATTGGCCTAAGTATGAGTCAGTGAACAGGGACACATTGGTATTCGACGAAGTAAACGTTGGGTTGACTATTCAGGATACTTATCGTGCGGACGCCTTGCGATACATTAGCGAGAACTTCGCTGGGGTATTTGATAAATAATACAAAGCAGACGTTGTAAGAAATGATCTTGGCCACAAGTAATATTTGTTCCATAATGTAGAATAGCCGAGGAATGAATTCAAGTGTACGGGATACACATGAATGAATTGTCACATTGAGGCGCTAATTATAGAGCGTCGTGCTTTTATTCTAACACTTCATTTCAGAATCATTATGAGATGTCAAAAACTTTTTGAACATGCTATAGACCCCCCTCAACTGAGCAAATCTACATAGTGAAGAGGGGACCCTGCAACGAGGACAACAAGGGCACCGATAGCCCTGCCTCCGAAACAGGTGTGAAATCAGAGTCGTCACTGGGAGTAGTAGGGTGCTAGAGAGGAGAACACCATAGGGTGACTACCAAGAAGAGAAGTGGAAGGTGTCTGCGTTGCTCTCACTGCCTGAAATTCGGTGAAGACAGGAATTTGTATAGTATGAATAGCTTCATTTACAGTACTGTATAGAGCGGTGTAAAGGGAGTTAAAAATAAGGCCTACTTCAGGCATCAACGCATAATAAAACATTGCATCCGACCCCTGGCCGCTATACCCTTCGCAATGGTGGGAAACATCTATGTACCTGGAAAATGCACATTCCAAGGCTCCAACTACAAATTAACGCCCGATATTGCGTCATCTTAGCAGGGGTCTCTTTGTACTTTGTGGGACCGAGTAATTTATCTAGCGCGTAATCATGCGGCCTAGCTCAGAAGCCACGATTACAATCCTCTGTAAGACAAAAAAATGGCGGTGACAAGAGAAGCTCTAATTATGTGTCGAAGAAACATAAACTCACAACTCTGCAATCCACTGAAATCGATCTTACACGCAACATAGTTCCTCGAAACCATGTCTGTCTGGCTCAATCTGTACTCATTGTTGGTATCAGTGACCTTCGTGCTCTACGCGTCTTTGCAGTTGTGGGATCTACGCGGTTCAGCTACCAAGGTGGTTCCTAATCTTCAAGGCCATATCAAAACAGTCAGATATCACTTCTTCTTTCTACAAAAATTTCTTCGGATTTGCTAATGCATCTGCCTGGAGTCAATAGATCCTAGTCCTGGGGCTTACCATTACCCAAATCATTTCCCTCATCGAAATAACAAACCTCTCAGATGATTTCAATTCCCAGGCTCCATTATTCGCATCAACCTTCGCTACTTTCGAGCTTTTTATATTGTCATTCTTTGAGCACCGCAGGACTGTGCGGCCATCTAGTCCGGTCACTCTATACGTGGCCCTGTGTTCTGTCAAGGATCTCATTGCCCTGACCATACCATCGGGCGATCTCAGAACTGCAGGCCTAATGCTCCTGAGCATAAGATTGGTGCTGGAGTTCAGCCTACTAGTAGTGGAGCTTCGAAACAAGCTCGCAATACTAAAGCCTCGCTATAAACATCTTGCGCCCGAGGAACTTACAGGAATTGTTGGCCGTGCGCTGTTTTGGTGGATCAACCCTATTCTCAAGGAGGGTTACCATGAGCTTTTGACACAAGATGACCTACCAAAAGTCGACCGAGCTCTATCCTCGAGGATCTTACGGAAACGGCTCGTACGGGCTTGGACACAGAGATGTAAGTATCGCCTACCACAATGTTGGAATAATGAGGTCATTAACGCTTTGTCCAGCAAAGCCAGAGACCAAATTCACCTTGCCTTGTGTTCTCTTTGATTGTTTTCGGGTAGAGTGTCTATCACCTATCATACCGCGTTTATTCTTGATAGTTTTTCGGTACTCACAGCCGACTCTGATTAAGATTGCTATGACTTTTGTGCGGATTGACGGTCCTCAACACGAGAGCACTGATTCGGGATATTGGCTTATCGTGCTAACCACTATCATATATTGCGGTCTAGCAGTAGGTCTTCTAAGGAGCCACTTCGAATCATGATATCTAACGAGATTATATAGATTTCCACATCGGTATATCGACACAAGCTCAACCGACTGCAGATTATGGCGCGTGGGGCTCTTATTAGCCTTCTTCATGCTAGGTCACTTAGGGCCGCAAGCTCTCCTATACATGACGGAAATGCCTTAACACTTATGAGTGCAGATGTTGACAGCCTTGACACTTCTGCAGAAATGCTCCATGAGACTTGGGCGCAAGTCGTGGAAGTATTGGTCGGAACCGCGCTCCTTGGAAGACAACTTGGATGGTTTGCACTACTACCCCTGCTGATTATATTTGGTATGATATAGTCACACACCAGACACCAGTGATCCAGACAAACGCTAACTAACTCTAGGGTGTTCACAAATGAGCGCATATGTCGCAAAACATCTTCAGGCAAAACAAAAGGATTGGAGTGTTGCAACTCAGGATCGCCTTTCAATGCTTGCCTCGGTCCTCCGGGGTATCAAAAGTATGAAGATTCTAGGTCTCGATCAGGCCACTAGCTTCCTTGTCTCCAATTTAAGAGCTCGAGAGATTGCGAAGTCGATAAGATTGCGATGGATTATGGTAGCATACAACGCCAGCGGTAAGACCAACAATTCTTTTCGACTCTGTTATTCCTAGGTGTTCATGGCCACGAAATCTCTAGCCAATATATTGAAGCTGACTATTCGTCCATCTCTTTAGCTAATGCGCTAGGAATATTCTCCCCGGTTCTGACTTTGGTGCTGTTTGCAGTTTCTCGCAGTGAAAATGATGCCCCAAATGCGGATATTGTCTTCACCTCGATCGCTCTCCTAGGTCTAGTCACTCACCCAGCCAATATGGTCATGACGATAGTACCTCGTGTGATTGCATCTTTGGCAAACTTCGAAAGAATACAAAGCTACTTGACCCAGGGATCATTAAAAGATGAGCGTGTGTTCACCTCCAGGCCAAAAGACAAACCACAACCTGGTCCTCAACTGGCATTTACATTGGAAAATGTCAGCATACAGCTCTCTAGCTCACATCAAGTCCTCCAGCATGTTCACCTTCAGATGACCGAAGGTTCGATTGGCATATGCTCAGGGCCCATTGGTAGTGGGAAATCAGCCCTGGCATTGACAATTCTCGGGGAAATAAATCCCACTGAGGGCAGGATTACTATTTCGCATGATAGAATAGCATATTGCAGCTCTTCTGTCTGGCTTCCTAATGCCTCCATCCGGGATGTCATTTGCGGACAATCAAGCAAATTTGATGCGGACTGGTACCAGACTGTCATCCAAGCCTGCCGTCTCGTTGCCGATTTAGAATCGCTGGTCGACGGAGATATGACGTGGGTCGGAAGTGGTGGTATTAATGTTTCTGGGGGGCAAAAATCTCGCATTGTAAGTTCTGGCTTCTTCAGACCATCCAGTGATCAAACCACTAAGAAGGTTATTGGAGGCTCTTGCCCGTGCAGTTTACTCTCGCTGCCGTACTATGGTATTGGATGATCCGTTTAGTCCCATTGATGCAGCAGTCGAGAGTCAAATTTTTCATGCTTTGCTTGGTCCTGAAGGGATTTTGCGCAAAATGAAAAGCACCGTCTTTCTCATCACTCGTGGCAGTGCGTTCGGCCCCTTTCATTGTCCGTGACTTATCCTTCTGACATGGCTTAGCTCAGTACTACCACCTGGCCGATACGATAATTTTGCTCAATGAAGGGAAAGTACAAGTCCAGAGCTCCTCTGATTTTACCCTTCAGACAAAGCCAGAGATGAGGACGAGCCATGTTCTACAACGTACATCAGAGGCTGATAAATCAGAAATTGCGGTAAAATCACAGAGAGACGGAACACAGATAGATGATGCCGCTGCCGATAAATTAAGGAGAACCGGGGATTTGGCAGTCTACGGTAAGTTCTACCTCTAGTCCTACGCTGAAAATATCTGACGCAAAATTAAGGCTATTATTTTGGTTCGGCCGGCATCTCAAATATGTTGCTCATGGCAACCTGCACTGCGATATATGCATTCTGTCTTACTTTCGCACAGTACATTCTCAAGTGGTGGACTGAATCCGACAATGCAAACTCAACGTTGTATATTCTGATTTATTTCTTACTATCCCTAATGGCTTGGATAGCGACCAACGGGACCATGTGGTTTGTCTACCTCTCTTCTGTCAATCCAGCTGTCTGACTGAACCGGATTTAAAGGTCAACACATATAGTCATCGCTCCACGATCCGGTTCTACTCTGCATTCTCGACTTCTCGGCAAAATAATGAAGTATGTTTCAAAAATAGCCTCCTCAGCAATTCACTGATATTGGAATAGTGCACCGCTTTCATACTTTTCGACCTTTGATATTGGTACCATATTGAATAGGTCTGGCAAATTAATTTCATACGATGGCAGATTTACTAAATTGCAAATACTCCAGATTCGGTCAAGATATTCAATTGGTCGACAAGGAAATGCCTTCAGCCTTCGCAAATCTCAGCAACCGTATGTCCAGTACCACATGTGCCAGCCACTTTCTCATGCTAAACATGAGGTGCCAGAGATCTTCAAGCTTATCATGCAGTCTATCGTCCTATTTGTGGCTCAGCCCACCATAGCAATGACTTTACCGCTCTGCACTATTTGTGTATACTTCATTCAACAAACATATCTCAGAACCTCTCGGCAATTGCGTTTCATTGACCTAGAGTCAAAGGAAAAACTTTATACAAGTTTCCTAGAGACAGTACGCAGAAGATACCGGGCCCTACTCTGACTAGTGCTAATTCCTGACCAGGTTGAAGGAATTGCTACAATTCGTGGCTTTGGATGGGAAGAAAGATTTGCGATCAATAACGTCGAGAAACTCGATATCTCACAGAGGCCATTGTATCTTCTGCTTTGTTTGCAGAGGTGGCTCAATGTAGTTCTAGATTTGTTAATTGCAGGGATTGCTGTGATTTTAATTGCCTCGGCAGTGATATTTCGAAGCACAGCCACAGGTGCTGACATGGGCATTGCGCTGAACATGGTTATTGCTGCAAACACAACATTGCTTCGCCTGGTTGAGAATTGGACAACCCTCGAGACCTCCCTTGGCGCAGTTTCACGGCTGCGATCTGTTGATGAAGACACCCCCTCGGAAGATAAATCCTGGGACTGCTTAGAGCCCTCTCCCGAGTGGCCAAATATGGGTTCCGTGAAAATAAAACACGTATCAGCAGGCTATAAGTTAGTCTCACTTACAAGGACATAGCAGACCGAAGACTGACAAGATTCTTTGCAGTTCCCATGTGCCCGTCCTTCGTGAGGTGAATATGGACATTCGGGGTGGGTCAGGTGTCATTCTGTGTGGTCGAACTGGAAGGTACTTTAAAGTTGTCGCGATAAGCTCTTGATCACTCTCCTTTTTCGAAGCTGACTGGAAATTTTTAATCACTGGTCGCAGTGGGAAAAGCAGTCTCCTTCTTACGCTGCTGCAGTTATTAAGGCCCCAGACTGGAACAATTGAGGTTGATGGCGTGGATATCACTCGCTTGCCAGTACATGTTGTACGGCGACGCTGCTTTGTTGCTTTACCTCAGGACCCTTTCATACTTCCCGACGCAAGCCTTCGATTCAATCTCGATCCCTACAATCAACATCAAGATGATACCATTCTCGAGATGCTTTCAAAGACTGGACTTTGGTCAAAGGCATCTCGTTCAGAGCTCCGAGACACCTTCCTGGGAAGGACAACGAACGGGATTGTTCTGGATACCACAAACCCAGGGTTCCTCGACCAACCGCTGGCTAGTTTTGCGCCCGTTTCTACGGGCCAAATGCAGATGCTCGCCTTCACACAGGCGTTACTAAGGGTCCAGTCATCAACTCAGAATCCTGACCCCGTGATTAGCCAACGAAAGCCAATCGTCCTCCTGGATGAAGCCAGCTCATCTTTGGACCTCGAAACGGATATCAAGATGCAGGAAATGTTGAGAGATTATTTTACGAATCAAGGGCACACCACCATCGCTATTTCTCACAGACTCAACACCCTGCGGAAAGAATTGAGACCGGGAGTAGACACTACAGTGTGGATGGCAGACGGGAGGCCCGAGGAACTCCATGGATTTAGTGAGGGAATTCTGGATCCTGACCTCGGTGGTAATCACTCGGATTAAATATTTATGTCTTTGAATTACATACATGGAGATCATTGTTTCAGCCTTGGCCCCGAAAAAGAGAATAATAATAACTATGCATGATAAGCTTGCGTACCATTACCAGCTCAGCTACGGATTCCTGTGATAGAAGGATAGCATCCTTCACAGAATACATTCGCAATGTGGATCCCATATGCTGCACACTCTAACATCCACCAATGCCCACATCGAATCCCGATGTAATCTTGCCACGATCATCACAATCAGGACTACCAATCGCCTGCAAAATTGCAGAGGAACAGTGAATCGTATGATTTAGGTTGATTTGCGATATAATACTGGCACCGTTGTTTATGAAGCGGTGCAATCGGCGCATGAGAAAAGTGCAATGTCCCAAGTGGTTCTCCGTGGTTGTGTATAGTCGCTGGCCGATCATTTTGGACATATCTTCTTCTGAGGCGATTTGCCTTTCTCCTTTGCCATCAAGGTAGTAAGGCCACGACTGGTGAAGGCGTGCATTGTTAGCCACCCACTCGCGAAACTCTCTGGTTGTATCGGGATCCGCGCATTGCTTTGGCATCCAGTTGTTGGTGACGAGGTCAAACTCGCATCCTAGCTCTTGAGCTTCAGATAACGTGGTGCCACATTGAATGTTGGAGAGATGTTGCCAATCATTGGACCTGGAGGCTTTTCCCATATGGTATCCGAGGAGAGAGAAAGAACCAAATGAAATCAGGCTAGAAGTTGCTGTGACCAGAATGAGAATCTTCCACCAGTCCCTGAGTATTCTGTGCCGGGTGACCGAACATTTGTCGTCTTGATCACAGTCTTCTGCTGGTATCTCCATTCTCAACTGAACATATTCTTGATTCGAGAACATATTGTAAAGGAACAGGTGGAAAAACCGATTATGTCAGGGCGTAGAATTCTCCTAAGCGGGTTCAAGTTCCTATAGAAAACTCAATGATATAAAAAGATGCATTGTCAGACTCAAATCACGTTATGCGATCATATCGTCATGGCAGCACTTTTTTTTCTGCTTACTTTGATTACCTGATAATCATCTATGCAGGTAACAATCTCGGGAGCTGACTGTCTCTCCACCGAGTAATCAGCTTACACCCACGTGTTTATTACGGTTTTACATGACGAGAAGCACTTACATATACGGACAGAAGAGGCGGAATCTCCAACTAGCCAAAGTTCACAAACAAACACTATCTCATTCGTTTTCATCATGGAGGCAACTTGGAAGCACCAACACCCATATGGTTATCACCAATCGACAACTGGAGTGTTTGATGAGACTACAAACGGTACCACACACGACAACACCTTTCCTCTGCATTTTCAAATCAAACCTAGTATCGACCCTCAAAATCTAGTTGCTCAGCATCTTGCCCAGGCGCCACCTAGTCCTGCTGTGAGCCTCGAAACAAACAAGTACAGAAAGCACCACAACGAGGAAGAAAATGAAGCTTTCCGACAGAAACTCATCCACGAGTTGTCTGGTGCCTGGGACGACCCCCGCACTACCAGTGCCTTTCTAAAGCTAGTTGAGGTTCTGAAAACCGAGGGATGTGCTGTATTTGCTGGTCTCATTGACAAAGCACGATTCACTACCTTGATTGGGGACTACACGCAAGCGATGGCGACATCCGGCAGTGAGGCGTTCTTACATTCGTTCCTCAATCTCTCCCAACATCCAAGCTTTTTGAAGAACAAGATCTATAATGACGCGTTCATTCACCCACTTTTGGTTGCTCTGATTGCATATACGATGGGCGGTGCGATCAGAATGACTGATGTGCGAGGAAAAGACACCCAACCAATCTCAGTCAATGCCCAAGACAACATGCTTCACATTGACAACACTCCATTCCGACATGAGTTCAAGGTTCTTGTCGGGTGGAAAAAGGGAGTTCCCAGAGGCCCGACGGGCCAGAACTTCACTTATATTCCCGGGACACATCTCGGCAATCGCCGCATCCGCCTAGATGAAGTCGGTAGACCTTGGTCGACAGAAAACGACAGTGTATTCTTGACAGAAACTTCCTTGGAAAACGTCTTTGGGTTTCAGAAGCGCGTATACAATCAAAGCCCATGTGTTGTTGAAGTACAATACCCAGACCAGCCGATAACGGTTGCATTCAGTGCTGGTTCTTTGGTTCACCATCGCTATCGGACTAAGTATGGGAGCGCTCGCAGTTGCATTATTGCGGCGTTTCATCTCATATCCGACAGTCCCGGTTCCTTGCTCCCCGTCCAAGAAGGAGACGCAGGTCGGCAAAGTTCTATATTCGATATGATCTTAGGTCGTTGGGAGAATAATTCCAATTCCGAATTTGTGGCAGTACTCGCGAGAGAGGCCTCCGTGATTCAGAAAAAAATCCTAGAGATTTCTAGTCATGGTCACATGTCCAAATTGCTGGATGCATCGAGGCTCACTCTCAGCGGCGAAGCATTTGGCCGATGGAAACAGGCTGTTATCAGCGCGCCCTCAACCACCTCCGTCAAGTTTGATCGGGGTTGTTTCTTGACTTCTGATCAAAATCGGATGGAAAAATCATGCCTGCTGAATCGACTGACGAACGTCATGTCATACGATAAACATGGGCTTTTAGACCTGAAGCTCTATCAAGACGGCCGGGAAGAAATCCGGAAGCCTGCTCGCAAGCACATATTTTGTCTCACGCGGGATACCATATATAATCGCCTTGAGAAATGGTTTCTTGATGTTGTAGGCTATGAATTTACGCCATTGGACATCATGAGGCCATCCGTCTTGAAAAACTGTGCGGTTCTAGTTGCGGGGCATCTACAAGAAGCAGCTGAACAGTATCCCTACCAAATTTCTGAACCGAGGGACGAGCTTCGGTCATTTTCTCAGTTGCTTACGGATCTTGGTGAATCGATCACCCGATGTGATGCTGTTGAGACCTACATATCGACTAGCTTGTTCATTTTTTGGGCGATTGACCAGACTCTGGCATACTTGGACCGGAAGATATACTTGGATGCTCGGACTGCAGGCGTTCTTTCCTTGAGATCTTACATCTCTACAACCCTTCTTGTGGAGCAAGCGTAGGGTAAATTTGGTTACCCCAGTACCTTTTACTTTTTTCTACTTTCTTGAAATTTCAATCTGGTTGCTTTCAGTCTCTTCGTGCTTTGCCTTATGCGAAAATTATTCCTTTTTTTAAAGTCAACTAGTTACGATGTAGACTTGACTAACTTGAAACTAGTCCTTGGATGACAAACTAGTAGATAGGATGGCGGGTAACTAGTTAACTAGTTAGTTAGTCAACTATCCCATAGGGTCGTTTTGGCCTAAATGAGGCCTTAATGCCTGATTTTTGGCCTCAATTTAGACCGCTTTTGGGCATCGGTTTACACCCTTGCCGGGACGGAATAACTGTGACGATCTGGGAAGGATCGTACTTGCCAAACGAGGAAGGAACGACCACGCCCTCGTACCTTCCCAAACTGACAAACAGGAATTAAACGAGACAAACGCAAGAGTATAAGAAGGGGAGAACGCGCACTCAGATAGTTTCTCTTTTTCCTTTCTTCTTCGTACTTAGAATTTGGTTTGAATTGCACTTTTTTCTTCTGAATCGAATTGGCTCGTAACAATACCAGGCCCGATGACCCCATGAACATGAAAGATTCATATATTACCACCCCAAAAAGTAGTGATGTGTGAACTTCTATGGCGCCAAAAGCTCCATTTTGCCAATCTAGTTAGTTAAGGCTGGCGGATTATTAAGCTCTCTGCAATGGTAATTCAGAAATCCTTACTTTTCTTCGAGCCTCAATTAGGCCAAAACGACCCTACGCGCTACAATTCGTCAACCCGTTAGTTTTACTTAGTCACCACCGAAGGTAGCCTTACATTTGTCGTACTATATATTTCCGTCAACTGGTGTTACTTGATTACGGGTAATCATTCATGCAACTTCCAAGGTTGATTACCCTATGGGGCACTAAGGATGTAATCATGCATTAGTCTGGCCCGACCTCGGGAGCCTATGATGTGACAGTCTAAGCAAAACATTTGAACACAGATGCTCACAATCAAATGAAGACCCCTATATTCATTCCTATTTGCCATGAACCATATCTTCTTGTCGTTCACAACTCAGTCTAATGGCTCCGCCGCTTCGCGTCTCGTTCATCTTCTTCGGCGGCATAATATTTCTAACCACCGCTCTATTCTATATTTGGGCCGAAGAATTTTCAACCCTATCATCCGAACTTGCCAAAGCGTCTGCAGGTGAAGCAATATCCGATTCCAAGAATTCCACTCCATTCCATGAGCCGTCAGCAAATGTGCAATGCAGGCCGCCACAGGCGCCACCTTCCTTTCTAGGAACCCCATCATCCATCATGGAAGACATTCAATATTGTATTGAGACGAGCAGAGAATTATATAATTCCCTTGAACAAGATGTCAATGAAACGAAAGCCACGTTCGAGAACGTCTTGCTGCCCATAGCAAACCTTGAAAATCTGTGCGGACTCAGATACCATATTGTTGGATTCTATAAGTCCGTGACGAGCAACACATATGTGCACAACGCTTCTATTGAGTCCATGAAGATGATAGAGAGCTTCGAAAGGCAATCTTGCCAACATAGCGGCATCTTCAGACTCGTCTCCGCTGTAGCGCAAAGGGGACAGACCCTCCTCCCAGAGCAGCAGCATTTTCTTGATGATCGGTTGAGATGTTTTCGACAACATGGTCTTCATCTGAACCCATCAGAACAGACAAAATATAACCAAATTCAGACACGGCTCAGCGAACTCCAATATGCGTATGAGGAGAATCTGAAGCATCCACCACCGACGCTGGAATTTAGCAGAGCAGAGCTGGAAGGTGTATCGGATGAGTGGCTTTCCATCTGGAAGTTGGAATCGGATTCTAAAGGTGATAATTTGTTCAAGATACCCTTGGGACGAGCGGAGGTCTCGCTTGTGCTGCGATCTGCGACGGGATCACACACACGGGAGAGGGTGTACGTGGCAAATGAGAACAAGAATCACGAGAATGCGGCAATATTTGCAGAAATTGTCAATTTACGCAATGATGCGGCCAGGATAGCAGGATTTCAGAATCATGCAGACGGTGCCTTGGTAGGCAATATGGTGAGATCGTTCCGCGATGTGGATAAATTGCTCTGGGCCCTGAAGCAAGATCTCAATGCTGCCGGACAGGAAGAGATTGCCTTTTTGAAGGAGGTCAAACGGATTCATCTGGAGGAAATGTCAGAGACCTTTAGTGACTCTTATCAGTTATGGGACCACCACTTCTACAGCCGCTTGCAAGCGAACAAAGATGCTCACACCAATATTGACGCACTGGTATCGGCGTACTTCCCTTTAGAACATGTTCTACGGCGTGTTATGCAGATGGTAGCAAGGCTATTCGGAATCAGATTTGAAGGGATAACCGAGTCGAAAGATCGGAATGGGATTGTCTGGCATGAGGACGTCCGATTATTCGCAGTTTGGGATGACAGTGACGCAGTCAACTGTACAGAGCCCTTTCTGGGTTATCTCTATCTAGATCTCTTTTCGAGGGCAGGAAAGTTCGGTGGTCGTGTCGCCAACTTTCTCCTCCAGCCTGGCTTCACTTTCGCAAACGGAACCAGGTGGTATCCTGTTACTGCAATCCTCAGTAATTTTGCAAGACCTACCATCAGCAACCAAGCCAATCTACAATTCGATGATCTGATTGCTCTATTCCATGAATTTGGACATGCTGTTCACAACTTGGTGTCAAAAACCACGTTCTCTCGTTTCCATGGCACTAGGGTGGCGAGGGACTTTGTCGAGATCCCTAGCCTATTACTCGAAAGCTGGTGTTGGGAAGAGTCCATACTGCATTCTATCAGCTCGCCTTCTCTTTTGTCTCCTTCCACCACCCGACCTACGCATAATAACAATGTCAATACCTCTACATCATCGATATCTCCATTCTCATTGCTCCAAAATTTCATTAACGCAAAAAGATCACATCGCGTCCTCTCAACCTTGCAACAAATCCATTTCGCAACCTTTGACATGGCAGTGCATCAAATCGGCGATTCAGAAGCCCTTAACACCACCTCCATCTCAAAGCTGTACAATCGCCTCCAGCGCCAAGTCGTTGGTTTGAATAGCTCCTGTGTGCGCGATGAAAAGGATGACTGGGGGCATGGATACGCAAACTTCGGTCATCTTGTCTCAGGCTATGATGCTAGGTATTACGGATACATATAGTAAGATATTTGGTCTCGCTGGCTTTCAAGTCTATGATTTTGCTCATATTAACACTTTCCAGCTCGCGAATTTATTCGGTCGATATATTTCAATCCTATTTCCAAACAAATCCATTGAATCACACCCCAATGAGACGATTCAGGCACTTGGCTCTAGAAAAAGGAGGCAGTCAAAATGAGAACACGACAATGGCAGAATTCCTTGGTCGACAACCCGATTTGAGGGCATTTTATAGAGATTTGGGCATCAGTTCGGGAGTTTAGACTGAATGACCTCTCCTTAGTTTACTATATTTGTCTGAAATTGCAATGAAAGTTACAGAAACGGGGTCTGAGATATCAATTATTTTCAGCAAGTTCTACAGAAAGAGGACTTAGCATACTTTTTATTAATTTACATATTGAAGAGGGGACCCCTGAGAGGCACCGACAGCCCTGCCTGCAAAACAGGTGTGAGAGCAGAGTATTCACTGGGAGTAGTAGGGTGCTAGAGAGGAGAACATCATGGGGTGACTACTGGGAAGTGAAGGTGTCTGGTGTCTGGTGTCTAGTGTCTGCATTGCTATCTATGCCTCGGAGGTGCTTTCATATCACATGGCCGATTAGTCATCCTACTCTGGAAACCCCCACTGCAGTTTTGAAGATACTAAGATGTCTGCCCCTGACTAGTTACTCGTGTGTATGCCTTTTCGTCCCGCTTAGGCCTTGACACCTCGTCCCAATGTCTATTGATTTTTTCATATGGCCCCTTGGGCCAATCAGGTACCTGCACTTTATATTGCAGTGGGGGTTCCCAGAGCAGGATGACTAAGCGGCTATGTGATATAAAAGCACTCCCGAGGCATAGATAGCAACGCAGACACCTTTCCACCTCTCTTCTCGGTAGTCACCCCATGGTGTTCTCCTCTCTAGCAACCTAATACTCCCAGTGAATACTCTGCTCTCACACCTGTTTTGCAGGCAGGGCTGTCGGTGCCCCTGTCCCCGTGGCAGGGTCCCCTCTTCAATACGGATGTTTACGGGCAACTATTCGGGTACCCTCGGAGACTACTAGACGGATCATACCCTCGATAAAACGGTTGTCATCCCTTCGATCGTCTTCATAGCCATGTTGATACATAAGCCACATAACTTAATGCTTTCATTTCCACGGCTTGTTGGTCAAACAAAGCTTCGCGTCGCCATAGCACAAACTCGACCGCGCTCTCACTCGCTTCTTTATATCCCAATCTCGTCTTCTTTACACACTAGCTCAGCGCAAGGAAAAATGCTACCAGCACCCGTTCGTGCCGTCTCCTTTCCAAGTGAAAGCAGGTTGCCATCGTCATATAAATCAGCTTATTTTGTTGACGCATTTGCTGTGTCCCTTCCAGTACCCAAGTCTGGAGAATACAGCCCAGATGCCCTTGCGCGGGCTTTTCTTTGCGAGACAACCTGTCTGGTTTTCAGTCCTGATGCGGATTAGAGATGGAGTTATGTCAATCTTTGGCGTGAAGCGCTCCACGGAGATACAGGCAGCGGCCGAGAAAAAAGGCATCGATACTATTACAGTATTTCCTGTCATCTCGCGCGCGGAGAACGAGATTGTCTTGGGGGAGGCTGACAGTCATCTCAACTTTCAGATTTCAATTCTGACACGAGATTAGCATTTTCCAACGGGCTATAAGGACAATAATAGAGAAGGCAAGGAGATGGTCGCAACAACGGTGGTTCATTGTCATGGGCTCCTTGGGAAGGCCTACATCGTGGTCATTAAAGCCTTTCATGTCATGATAGTCAAGTACTGTTTAGCGAGGGTACCAGGAAGGATTACAACAGATAATTAGCCGCAAGTCCATAGCACAAAATCCCAGCTCAAAATCTCAGCTCAAAACCAATTTCGTCTAATCCAATGGATCTAGATACACCTTACCTAAAGTAGTTTAGCGTAGGGTATTATTGTCCCTTAATTGAGATCTTTTGGTGATTGGGTCAGATCTACAGCGCCACATCAGGCTTCACAGTCATGCAGCGTATGTATATGAGTCACGGATATCGTGACATCAAGTCACATGTATTCTCAGCCGTGCAACTCATGGAGATATCAGACATCTTCTAATAGTTAAGTATCTTCATTGTTCTTTGTATTCTATATACTTCACTCATATCCCTTCCATACTTCGCATTCCTTTGGTTCCCCGCAGTGGGTCCCGTGTGTGCCTGACCGCTCTCTTCCTCTTCGCTGTCACCTCTCTCTTGACATGCGCCCAACCTCGAAGCCTGTGAGATGAAATGCTTTAATGAGTCGGCTTGCATGCACTTCTCAATATCTCATACCCCACATTCATGGCTTTTGCAGATATTAACTGGGGAACGCTGATCAATTCAGACAAAAGCCCAGCCCCGCTGCTAGAACAGCTATGTCTAGGGATAGCGCAGTTGATGGTAAGTTCTAGACCCATCTGAAGTGGATTGGATACCAAAATAACACACCCAAAGTGCTCCTTCGATACCAACGCCACCACTGATATCACCCCGGATCGACTTGCTACTTTTTACCGCAAGGTCGGCGGCAACTACGACCCTTTATTCCTTGAGACCAAGGCACAAGCCCTGTCATTCATCTACCAGTCACTAGGATGTTTCCACAGTCTCCAACCCTCAGCCAACCCTTACGAACCCCCATCAATTCCCTCGCTACTTCCGACTGGCTTCGTGCGGTGGCAGACAATACAACTGTTGATGGACCCAGATGAACACTCAGTGTATTTGCAGAATGCAGTCAGCCTTTGGGATATTGTAGATGCAAATGGCGAGATCTTTCCCAAGACGATCCCTCGAGACGCGTTTCCTTCTGAGCCTGACCCGGAGATGCTTGAATGGCATGAAGGCGTGAGTCGGCGATTGGAGCGTGACTATCTGAAAAGACACACGAAGCGTGCTTCGCCGCCAGACTTTGGGACATATCATTACCATTTTAGTGGCAAGGATCCTCTGCCCGACGAAGACGACTATTTCTCGCGTTCAGGCCGGGCGGCGTCAAAGCGCCACAGTCATGCGGAGCCCGATCGGCCCACCGATCATCGCAATCACCGCCGACGATATAGTGGAGAATATCCCGCATTCTCTACACGCAGGCCTAGAGCGAGTCGACCGGGCTTTTCGACCCCGAGAGTTTCATCCCCTCCCCCATGGGGGGAGCGTCCGCCCTATTCAAGCGGACGAGACCAAGGTGCTCGGCACGGCCATCCACTAAGCCCAGGAACAGGTGATATTCCAAATGTCTCTGATGTGTCTTCAGATGAGTCTGCACGCCGCCGCAAGGACCGTGCGGAACCGAATAAGCACCAAACCCGACGGCATCTCTCACCACCTTCTAGCAGTAATGCCAGACGTCACTCCCACGAAGCCTACACTCGCAGGCCATTCCGAGATCTGTCACCGATAAGCCCTACCCGAAATCGCCGCGGGTATGAGACTTACCCTTCACGATCTAGTAAATCCCACTCTGAGCCTTCATCGAAGTTTCACCCGAGAGATCATCGGGATAGGGATCCGAGAGATTTCCGAAAGGAACATTCAAAGGACCGTTCTCGATCGCGCACAGCGGGTGTCAAATTCCGCGAATTCATATTCGGTGACTCAACTCCTGCTCCAGCTGCTCCAGACCCACCTTTCTACAGGCCACCAACTCCTCCGCCAAGAGCAGTACCGAGACATCGAGGGACTCACGCCGCAGATGATATGAGAAGAGGAAGTTATAGTGGCGGAAGTACAGGTAATAGTCGACCCAGTAGCGGAGGAAGCGGATCTGAGCGGCCGCGATCATACAGCAGTGCTGGATTCCACCCCCGTACAACTGGATGGGCGAGCCCTCGCAGCTCCCCTTCAAAGCGATATCCTCCTGCCACTGTTCCTGAAGATGACGGATACATCCCCTCACGGAGGGTTCCGATTTACGAATAATTCTCACGACTTGCTGCACGTTGATGTTTAACGAATCTCTTTCATTTTTTCTTCATTTTCGGGCATATGGATATTTGGTTTTCATCGGCTCTATCACAACATTTTGCCTTTGGCGACTCATCTTTTTCACGACGAACCTAGCATTCCATTCTTATGTCTGGCGGACTTCTTTAATTGGCGTTTTGTTTCTTGTGGTTTTTCTCGCTTAATTGCACCTATGATACTCCCCATTTGAATGAGTATGGAATGACAAGCTCAAGTAGATCAACGCACACGAATATGAACTTGAACTTGAATGTGCATCATATATATCTGAAACTAAATGTTCAAGAATCGTTCATTGTAGCGATTTAGTTAATAACCCAAACCGAATTCAACGTGAATCTAATCCGACAGCCGCGCCCTCTGGAAAGTAAAACCATAATCGCGCAGCACAGCACAAATCTCCTCGTCCTCAAAATTGGCCGTAGTAGACGGCGGCATTCCCAAAAGCGTCATATTTCGTGTTGAAGCCGTATACTCCTCAATAAGAAACCGCTTCTCAGAACGCCCAAACGAAGAGTTCGAACCAACCGACTCTCCACCAAATATAGAGAGAGTACTTGCATACGCAGGACCACGGATCTTCAAGAACTCCAGATCCGGATTTGGGTTTCTTTCGCGGAAAAACGCACCGAATACATCATGAACAAGCTGTGAGTGAAGAATATCCAAATCATCGTAGTACGGATACACATCTTGCGTCTTGGTGTTCAGGGTACCCCACGCGAGCAAGACATCTGAGGTATGGCAGGAAGCATTGTACGCAGTATTCGGGTAACAGATGCCCGGCATATTTGATGTCTCTGCATGACCATCTGCTATTTGGACTTGGTATAGGACAGGAAAGATGGAAATGGAATTCTCGAGAAGATAGCCCTGTGGGCAAGTCCACTGACTGTGCGATACTGCATCGGAAGCAGCGTTTAAGACGGCATCGTGATCGGAATCATTAACCTTGTATGCCCCAGAGGATATTATTTTCCGAGCGAGGGTATCGCCGAATATAACGCTAAGCAATGTAGCGAGTGGGCTCTGGGTCGAGCCGAAAATGGCCATGTAGAGGCTTGCTTCGTCGCGGACATTGGTGAACATGGTCGGGACGTTGATTGGGAGCTTGTTCTTGGAGAGGAGGATGTTAAATTGGTCGTCGATAACGCCTGATCCGGTGTCATCTACCATCGGCATGAACGGTTCACTTGCGGATAGCAGTTCTGTATTATGGTAGAAGTGATTTGCCTTGTTGGATGAGAAGGACTTTGTAGCAGTCTGGAAATCAGTTGAGTTATCAAGATACATTGAAGCCGGGACGGAACGAAGGCAGTTGAGGAGGGTTGCTTCTGGGGCGTTTCCGTCACATCCAACTGCGTTTCCGACTTCTGGAGCGATGTATTTAGAATAAAGAGCGCGAGGAAACCATGGCAGGTCGAAGTTTGCTGATTGCACCAGCGCGCCGGAGAAGAGACCTTTCGCTGCGCTGGAAGAGAGCAGAGCTACCACGCTTTGACCACCAGATGACTGCCCGAAGACAGTAACATGCGATGGATCACCTCCCAAGGCAGAAATGTGCTTTTGTACCCATTGCAAAACCATGATTTGGTCTTGAATACCGTAGCTCCCAGTTGTCAGCTTCCCTGTAGACAAAAACCCCAATGCTCCAAGCCGATAGTTAACTGTGACGACGACCACATCGCTGCGGCTGGCGAAGTTTCCTCCGTCATAGTCAATCATAGCTGCGGTACCTTTCGTGAATGCACCCCCATACAGATAAACAGCCACGGGGCGAAGGGCGGTGTTCTTGGTGATATTGTGAGGCAGGAATGGGGTGAAGACATTCAAGTAAAGGCAGTCCTCAGACATTCCACCAATAGACACAGTGCTAAGGGCTGAAGCAGATTGGATGCATGAATTCCCCATGCTAGTCGCATCGATGTTGTTCGATCCGGTGTAGGCTTGCGGTGGGGCAAAGCGCAAGTCATTAATTGGGGGACTCGCGAAGGGCACCCCGAGGAAGCGGAAGGAACGCGCATCTCGATATCCGGTTAGGGTATAATCGTGGGATGTGACGGTCAGTTTCGTGGTTTCCCTTACGGCTCGGTCGCGATCGGTTGTTCCGGGCGGACTTGAGGTACAGAGGGCTGGTAGCTTCACATTGCATGGTTTCTGTATGATCTTGCGATGGGCGATCGAGAAAGCAGAACATAATTTGCGATTTTCTTCCTCCGACAGCCAAAAGTAGTCATCATCTCGTATTTCTTTTGCAAAGATGAGATAGTCTAGTTCATAACCGAGTTCGGAGTGAATTTGACTATTGCTTTCACTCGAAGACCACGGGAAGAGCTTCTCCCCTATGGCAATGCACTTTGCAACAGCATCGAAATAGCTCGAGCGATCGTGTGCTAAAATAGCTGAAGTGCCATTGTTCTGGGGACCGAGGTTGTTGTAGTGCAATACGCGAAGATCGCCAAGAGATCCAGCATGGGGATGGCGTTGTTCAGCCAAGCCATGGCTCAAAAGCAAACAAAACGCGAGTATCGCAAACTTGGACTCCATCCCGAAATTAAATTCCAACGAGTGAAGCCGACGGATGCTTCAAAATGGCGTAGAACCCCGTTCGTTTAGTATGACATCACAGGCTGCATGCGTTATACTTTGCAGATCTTCCAGATATCAAGCAAATTCGAGGCGTGGGGATAAAAAAATTCGTAAAATTCGTTATTTGACGAATTTTTGCAATGGCCATGTAGCTTTTAAACCACGGAAGGGATTGCTCGGAAAATCCCTTCCTTGTACTGCCCGATTGTGTACTCCATGACTCGACGAAGAGTTCCTAAAAGAGACGTGGTATGTTTCACACTTGTGGTACGGCCGTCTAAGTCAGATAAAGGGCCCCAGATGCGCTGTAGGAGAAGAAATTAGCCATTGTACCCAAGTCACTAAAGCATATTACCTACTACTTCTTTCAAGACACCCGACTCTTCGACTCCGGTTGCAATATAAAATTTCCAGTCTTCTCCAACAGCAGTGCACCCAACAAGGGGAGGCAAATCTTTGACACTCTTACGCTGTGCGAATGCCCACATTAGAAGTCCTGTCATCCATACCCCAATCTGGACTTGCGCTTCCACCAAATTTCCATCTGCGGCTTTAATTTCAACACCAGGACCCAGAACACGTTTTCCAGTGTGCGGATGGGTCATATGGCTGAAGTATTTCCCTGTCGTATGCAACCCGGCCTTTTCATATTGAACTTCGTAAGCGTTCACGGGAAGACCGACAACCAGATCAATTTTTCGGTTATATGTATCGCGGGCTGTATAACGAGGTTGATACTGGGGGTCAACGGACTCTGTTTGACTGCCAGAAATTAGCAAGAACCAGGGGGATACGGGGTCTTCGTGGGACATACATGCTCCAACACTCCAACGGTAGTTCTGCAATAGCGCTCTCCAATAGCGGCAGTGCTACCTTATGCACCCAAGAGCCTTCGCTACGGAATTCTGTGGCACATTGACACGAAGCACTCGAGATTTTCTGAGCAACATCTTCATTTCCACTGAACTCAGAATCTTGTGTTAAATCTGCTAGTAGCTGACTCGCAGCACGGCTTTTAGGGTCGGCGGATTCATGTATATAGACCACCCGAGGGATGGCTGTGGCTAGTTCAGCCTTCACGCGTGATGGACTCGATGAGCGTGATCGCCCACCACCCCGACTGGCCGCGGAACTTGATGGGGCCAGAGAGATTATCTCGTCAGCTAAGCGGACGGAAACGGTGGATGCTGTTTCAGAGGTAGTTCGGTAGGATATCTTATGAGGGTCTGACTGCGACATCGGATTCTCGGCTTCAAACACCGACCTCTTGCGTTTGTGCTGAGATGCTGGAGTTGAAGCGTTTTCCACCAGTCTTTCGGTATTAGGCGGGGTTTCGGGCACGCTCCTCGCAACTTCTTCGACCCAAGACAAGATCGCGGGGGTTTTCCCGGCAGACATCGGGGCGAGTTAAACGCAACATTGTCTGCTGCAAAGTTGACCCTATTTTTCCCTGAAAGACTCGCGATAAGTAGCTAATGTTGTTGGGAATAGTATCCCCGAGATTGTCGCTGGAGCAACCGCTGACAATATGATAGATCACGTGCTTTTCCTGTTTCCACTGCTCCCAGAGCCAAAACGCTTGTAGTAAATCGAATCGAAAATCTGGAAGTGAAGCAGCTTTACTTGATGTTATATTCAGTAAACGATGAATTACGCAGTCTATTGTGCAGAAAACTCGTTGGCTCGTTCTTTATGAGGCTGCCGATGGTTTTAAATACTGGAGATATATTTACCATAAATGCAGGAAAATATACTGATCTTTATTGAAGTCCAACTTTTCTACCCGAAATATGAGCAATTCGAGCATTAAATTCTGTTCCTCACGAGACGACTGCTAGTTTGCTTCGAACAGGCTTGTTCTCTGCCAGTCCGGGCTCTGGGAAGCCAGAGACATGGACACCCTTTCGGAAAAGAAGACAATGTGTCGAACCACCAAAATGGAACATGCCAATTTCATCTCCCTTCTTCAATTTATCGCCCTCCTTGACGGTGATATCACAGGTGGAGACCTCTGCCATTCCAACTCCAATGAATGCCACCAACCCAATGGCTGGCTCATCCGCTTCGATGAAAATGAGTGCTCGCGTGGCGGTTGAAGTGATGTATCCCTGCGAAGTGACCTGACCTGCCATGTCAATATCCTTCTGCTCAACATCCGGGTTCCCAACACCTTCGAACAACGGTTCGGAATAGTAAGTGCCGTTAACAACATAGGCCTTGACAACCTTCCCACTAACAGGCGCGTGCCAACGGTGATAACTTAACGCACTAAGGAATGCCTGATAAATAGTGCCGCCAACAAACTGCGACGCAAGTTCATCATGGCCCAGCATATCGAGCACAGAGTAGGGCTGGCTCTTGATCCAGAAGTGGTCACGCACTTTAACATGGTGCGCAATCCTATACGGCCTCGACTCGCACGCGTTAGCGATAACCTTTCCGTCCTCCGGATCTGCGACGGGGCGTATTCCCTCCCTGAGGGTGCGGGTGAAGAAGTCATCCCATGACTTGAAGCCGTGATTTGGAGCATATGGGTCACATTCAAACATGTCATGGAATTCCAGTTCCGTCTGCGCTAGCGGACCGATCTTTGCAACAGCTGTAAGATCCCGACGGCCAGTCTTACCGAACCATCCGTGAGAGGTGTTATTCAGCACATCGGCGGAAGCGGGAGAGCGCAGGAATTCGCCCCACACATTCAAGATCTTCTTGATCATCGCGTTGATCTCGGGATCTAGGAAGGCCGCATATCCACTAGGTGTACCCATCGGCCAGTCGAGGACGGCATTAATAGGCAAACCGACTAGCCCGACGCGGTTTGCCTTGTCGGTCCAGGAAGGCGCAGTGGTGAGGAGATGGTTGAGAACACGCAGGAAATGGTTATAGTCGCGGATTTCAGGGTTTCCCGTTACGTCGTGGCCGTATCGCTTCTTCCGTGGGACTTCCTTGAACATTGAAGTCAAGAGCATGTATATGCGAGTGTTCGATTCGATGAGTTGTCTGAATTCCTCTAGGACCGGGTGGAGGGGTTTCTGAGACTCGTCGTCGACTTTCTTGATTATTCCCCCCAGCCATTCTTGGTGAGCTTTGTAGTCTGCTGGCATCCAGTTGCCGTACCTTGTGAATGTGAGCATCATGATACCGGTTGGGATGGGATTGATGCCTTACCTGTGAAGGTGGTGTTCTGAATTAGGGTCCGTCATCTTTTCCAAAATAGTAGAGAACTGAAAAGCCTTACATTGACTTCCGTCTGGGTCATGGTCAATCAGATATTTATACTAGTGTAAATTGAACCCATAGATTACATCAGTATGATGCTCTCAGGCAGGACAAAGTCCAGGCATCTTTTAGATGAATGAAAGAGCCTTGCATGTGAGGCTATATCGGGGAGTCAAGTATGTCATGATATTCTTAACGATCTCATACAGACCTAGGGAATCGTAGCCCCAGGGCTATTGCGTGGTGATCAAAATGATACCTAGTTGGGGTTACTGATGTCATGAAGACTTCTTAACTTGGAATGCTGCATGGGTGATCACGACGATTGGACTTTCAAATAATTCCCCCACATATGACATGCTTGATGTATTAGCAAAAAAGGACCTTTAAAAGAAAGGAATGAGGACAATAAGAGAGGGCAAAAAAAAAAAAAAGATAGACATAGCATGTCCTGGTTTCGATCCAGGGTCCTATTGTGAGTTAGTTTGACGTTCGTGAGTCAAATTGGTATCGGTGAAACGTACCTCCGGGTTATGAGCCCGGCGCTCTTCCCCTGAGCTAACATGCTGATTGGTGGAATATACTTGACTTGGGCAACTAATATAGCATTATCTTAGATTGGATAAATGATTTAACTGTGTTGAATGTTTTGAATCTGGCTAAAAGTACGAAATTATAAACATTTTCCCCAAAGAATCTAAAAGCGTTGCAGAACCGTGGAGTTGACTGTGGGTATTGCTATATGTACACATTGTACCCCTACTGACCGTGGAACTATGACCAGCTTGGACACCTTACCCCGGACTTCCAAATTCTTTTAATGACTTCCCTGATACCCCCTCAGGTTATTCTACAACGTCGAGTATGCTAACTTCGTCCGGAATTCTAACAACTGGGCGGCAGCGACACGGAAAAGTTCAGAGTTCACCTCATAAGTCACATTCATTTCCTTCCGTCACCGTCCGTTGTCACCGAGCCTCCCTTCGCGATGCATACTGCTATATTGGAGATGAGACCTTACTTGAACCGGTCAGGTGAGATAATCGAGCATTCATGGAGGATATAATTCGGTAAGCTTTGCGATGGAAGCTGGTTCCACTGGCTATGAAGGCGAAGACAACCTCCGCGTTCCATAAACTCAAACATCGGCTAACTCCTCAATCGACTATTCTCTTCCTCCAAGACAGCAGGTCGCCCAAGGCTTATTCCTCCATCCGACTGAGCGCCGTCGGCATCACTCCCTCTCAACACTATCTATACCTACACCGAAGCACTCTCGAGAAGCTTGCTACCAACGCATTCTACAATAAAGTATGTGCTTTAAACAGACTCGCCGTGCGATCTTAACAGAGATATCCAATGTGGTTTGTGCTCTTCCGGTATTACAACACGTGTCAGATCTCAGCGAGCGTTCTGCGGCCAATAAGCTTGAGGCTAAAATGGATGCTATCCTATATCCTATATAAGACATTTTAAACTACGTGCTTGATTGCGTGGGATTTTCAGATTGGTTGGAACACAGAAGTGATGTTTAAATATGAGTACTATGTAGGTGGAAAAAGTTTGGTATTGCGACGCCAAGCAATGGTGAGCTGGTAGAAGGGTTGAGATGAGATAGGTGTCGAAATTCCCTCAGCGATATAATAGGTGTACAGCGTTTGGGCGTATGGTTCTTGCCAGGACAGGGCAAGTTGAGGGGTTACAATGGGAGATACTGCATAAAGATTGCATAAAGGTTACTAGCCTTCGAGGAGCCATGTACTACGTACCATGACGTGGGAAGGGGAACGATCCCTGACAATATGACCGGATCAGCCGGTAGACAGCTAAGCCGGAGAGTTAGGCGGGGAAACATGAGTCTGGTGGGGAAGGCGAAGAAACACCGATCCAGGCACATGATATTATTGGAAATGATCGTTTAGATGCATAGGTACGGGGCAAATCTCGGAAATCCTACTGCAATAGGACTCACCGGAAAGTTCACTGGGAAGGAACAGGTGGCGAGTGGGTCACTGCGCGGCTCAATAGTTCATGTGTGAATTGTTATAACTTCACTTATAAGTTCAGTTAGGATAGATGTATCTTCAATGAGTTATTATAACACAACAACTGGTCTTTGCTGAACTTTATCACACCTTTTTCCGTCACTCGGGCATCTAATCCGAGTCAAAACCGGCATGCCGACAATAACTTTGAATTGTGGAGCTAACTCGGCTCGGGAGGTTATTCGGACCATCGTCGGCGATATAGGGAAAACTCAAACACCGGCAATCATCCGAGACATGAATCCTTTCGTTCCGGAGATATCTATACGCATCATAAGCATGCCCTGATGCTGACGCACGAGAGTGGGCGAAGGAGAATAGCATATCACGAGCGAGAATTGGAGACAGCATTGTTATGAGACTTGTTATGAGACTTTCCCCAGTGACCGGACTGACTGTATGTATCCAACATACGACGACGAAAAGCGCCCCGCTACTAGCATTTTTACGTAGTCTTCGTCATACCCACTTACTTGGTATTCCAACCCATTCATTGATCAGCAGGTTCTTCATTGTTCTCCGTGTTGGCAGCATAATAATTGATCATTACCTGGAATTCCCTTCCCCACTCTCCGTATAATCCCGCAGCCCCGGTTCTCATCAAATTCTGGAGTCTGGAGCACCACTCACATCACGCGACTTTCAGCCAGGAACACTTAAAAATTATAGAAAGGGACCAAACCCCATGCTGTTGATTCTCCCCTAGACAGCTTTTCCAACCTTCACTCTCCACAATCTATGTCAATATGAAGGCCTCCAAAAATCCTCAACCTATATCAGCTTCCCATGACGAGAATATTCCCTCAGTTGACACTATGTCAGCCGACGAGACACACACGGCAAAGGGTCTAATCGTCGGTGGAAAGTACCGGAATGAACTTTCAGAAGAGCAGACCCAGCATTACGACAGCAGCTTATTGCAAGAGGTGGACGTGGATCTTCCCCTTACAGCAACAAGGCCTGTGCAGCACGATGGCCGAGAATACATCGTGCTGGACTTCGTGGATGGAGACAAACAGAACCCCTTCAACTGGAGTATAGGCCGAAAGGCCTTCATCAGCAGTCAGCTTTGCCTCATGACACTTTTCATCGGTCTCGCCACAACAGCATACAGTTCCGGAATTTCACGCATGGCAGCGGATCTAGGGACAACAGAAGAAATTGGAAAGCTTGGTCTTTTCACCTTCAACTTTACATGTGCACTTGCTCCTCTTTTCCTCGCTCCCTTCTGCGAGCTGGCCGGTCGACGAGTTGTCTATGTCGGTGCCTACGTTTGCTTTTGTCTTATGTTCATCGGTCTCGCTCTCGGTAAGAACATCGCCACAATCCTAGTATGTCGTGCTCTGCTGGGTTTGTTTGGTTGTGTTGGTACAATTCTTGTTGGTGGCACTTTCGGTGATATGTATATACCGGACCACCGTGCTATCCCGATGGCTTGTTTCTCCTTTATTGCCATTCTCGGTACAGTCGGTGCGCCCATCTACGCCGGATTTATCGACCAGGCTCTCGGCTGGCGCTGGCTCGAGGGTATCCAGGGTTTGGCGAACATCCCCCTTGGTATTATCATCATTTTTTGCCTGCCCGAAACCCGTGGTAGTGTATGCCTAAGCAAACGTGCGAAGGCAATCCGCCAGGCCACCGGCAATGACAATTTCGTGACCTTCAATGATATCGAAGCCCCTGGGCTCAAACACATGTTACACAACTCCTCTGTTAAGGCCGTGAAGATGCTCTTCACCGAGCCCGTCGTCTTTGCCTTCGGTCTTTGGATCAGTTTCGCCTGGTTCCTGGCCTTCCTCTTCCTGTCCGTCATTTCAATTACCTTCGAAGAGAAGCGCGGCTGGGGCGAAGGAGTCGGAGGTCTTCCCTATATTTCTCTCTGCCTCGGAACCACCATCGGCTTCGGGTTCCACTTCTTGCAAATTCGCAAATACAACTCCATTGCCTCCAATCCGAACGTTGAGGTCTCACCCGAAGATCGGCTGTATGGTGTCCTATGGGGAGCCGTCTGGCTGCCGATCGGATTATTTGTCTACAGCTTCACCCAGTACAAGGGTCTCCACTGGATGGGTCCAATCGTCGGATTGGCTCTCATCACCATCGGTATCTTCTTCATTTTCGAGTCCTGCTACAGTTATACGGCCGATTGTTACGGAGAACACTCTTCTTCTGCCATTGCTGGTCAGGGTTTCATGCGCAACACACTCGGTGCTGTGTCGCCTTTGTTTGCTTCCCAGTTCTTCCACAACGTGGGTAGTCAGTACGCTGGGTTGATATTGGCATTGGTGGCGACGGTCTTGACGTTTATTCCGTTCATTCTGTATAAGTTTGGCCCTGCACTGCGTGCGCGCTCTAGACTTGCCTCTGCCACTGTGAACGGCACCAATTAAGCGGCTGGGTATTTTCTGTACAATTAGCATATCAAGATACTAGATTCATAGATTTGCATACGAATTAAGGGTTTGAGGCCTTCAAGAAATATTGACAACGATACGAAAAGACCTGTGATTTCTCGAGTAGTTTGTTGATGTGATCAGTGCGAGAGGACCGCCTAAGATTGTGCAGTCATTTATTGCCTGTAGGACATCTAAGTGAGAAAATGTAGAAAGATTTGGCGTAACTACTAACAGAGATCACTGAGTAATTGTGGTATTCCTGTGGACATTGTAAGGGTTCGAAAAAGATTTCGGCGCAGGCATCCTGGGTGGCGGGATATCTGGGGTGGCCAATTAAACAAGGGCGGTGAGCGCCAACCAGTTGCAGAAATACTTGCAAATTCAGTAGGCGGTGTGTCCAAACGATCCGCTCTCAAAAAATTTCCCACGATCATCTCCAACTTAACCTCAATCTACATTCCACTTATCTTCCGTTTCAACTACACGGCCGTGATCCCCCGAGTGAGCCATTTCTTCAAGATCTGGTGTTTAAATTCCCAACTACAACGCAACAATGGCCGAAGATACTAGCGCAGCGTGGCCCATCGCCGATGAGGCCCTCGCCCAGAGCCTTCTTGATCTTGTGCAGCAGGCGGCGCACTATCGTCAATTGAAGAAGGGCGCAAACGAGTGCACCAAGTCCCTTAACCGCGGAACCTCGGAACTTGTCATCATGGCCGCCGATACCAGCCCTCTCGCCATTGTGCTTCACTTGCCTCTTTTGGCCGAGGACAAGAACGTGAGTCCAATATCCTAGAGCCCATACCCTAGGGCGCTACACCAGATAAACAAAACTAATCATTCGAATTAGGTTCCCTACGTTTACGTTCCCAGTAAGATGGCTCTTGGCCGTGCTACTGGTGTCTCCCGTCCCGTGATTGCTGCCTCCATCACTACCAACGAGGCCAGTGACCTGACCGCCCAGATCCGCGCCATCAAGAACCAAGTCGAGCGTCTCATGATCTAAGATGTCATCTTGGATATGATGGGGAGGAGGACCGGAGTCCGAACAAGTGATTTTACACATGGCGGTTGGCTTGAGTAGCGGGTTTCTTCTGTGATACGAGGACTCACTGCTGCCGAAATGCACAACCGGCTTGCTTTAGCTGTGGAGACTAGGTTTTGTTCGCGTATATAGCCGGGACAATAAACACCTTGAACTTTGAACTGACGTAGTAAATCTTGTGAGATCATCGTAGAGGGGTGTAGTCAGCCTCGTTGCCAGATCATGTGGGTGGCTTGCCTCGGACATGGACAAGACAGTTCGAGTCACTTTGCCTTATTAGGTCTCATACTTGGGCTGAACTCCAATGCTCACCTGAACATTCCAAGGTTGGAAGAGTGTGACCTGGGGCTACGGCCTCCTGGGCTGTAGTAAGCAGCGGTCTAGATGCCAGGGGCTAACCTCCATTTCCGGTAAATAGTGATGTCTTACTGCCTGATATTGGTATATTACAAAAGACCTTCATATTACGATGATTTACAGTACATTCAAGTGGTCAGGAAGTAGGCAAAAGTCAGGCATGAAGGCACAACTGGCACTCGGGCCATGCACCTGCAGATGTAGGCAAACCATTCACACCATGACAAAGAACATGTTAAATTGAGTACTGAAGAGGGAGTCGCTATACCTATCCCCTTGAAATAATTGCTATCAGACCGCAATCCCGAGGAATTCACTGTTCATTGTAAGTATCTGTTACCTATGAACCAGAAAGAAAGATACACAATTACCATTTGGACATGCAAAGGGTCTCTTCAAAAGGCGGGGGGCGTGTGGATCTCCCGTGGTCCGCCATCCCGCGAAAAAGCCAAAAATGCCAAAGAGCCAAAAATGCATGTAGGAAGATGTAACCCTAGGTTTGGTTTACGAACCCCTTATAGCCGAAAGAGGTGATCTGATAGCCTCTAGTCATGCGACAAGTCCAATTTGTGAGGTTAACGAGTTATGTGATACTGGTTGTATAACCAATTAATATATGGGATACTATCTATTAGATTCGTCTGTCTTCTTGCATATCCCCAGGGCCAGAGCGCTAGCTCCTAGTTCTTGGGTATTTTATTCGAGAACCTGGCCGCTCTATACATGATATACCTAATTTGATGTATAATTGGGTTTGCGGTTGTAAATTCAATTTCAGAATTTCAGAATTTGATCATCGTTTTTCAAGCTATACCACATTCTATATGTCTTCAATGGGCCACTATTTGCTATTGGTTGCTTAGTCCATCCCAGTTTACTATGGACAATCCAGTTTGGCACTGCTGTTTCTGGTCCCGATGGTATGTTATGCTTATATGCATAGGCTCAAGTAGGGATGATTCTCACAAATGCTCATCGTATCCCCAAACAGCCAAGATTGATCTACATAGATAGTCTACTATTCTAGTAAATAATACACATCTATTTGAGGCGTTTCATTTTCAGCTCGGGGGCCTGAAAGAGTCGTCTGGTCAATTTCCTGCAATGCAACCTCAACCTCAACCCCAGGACCAATTGCTGGCTTCGAGGTATACTTTTGGCACTTGGCACACGAGGCGTCCAACTCCAAGAATCTGAATAAACTGTCCATGGTATGAAATCCATACGACTTGGCATTTGTTCTGGAAATGTATATATACGTCTCAATATCCTCCAGAAACTCATACTCTTGGACATCAAGCCTCTAATCAACCTCCTCAGACACACAACCACTTTTTTTGATATAACACACTTCTCTTTTACAATGAAGGTTACCGCTATCCTCTTCACTCTTATGGCTGCTACCGCCGTCAATGCTTCGGTCCTGGACAAGCGGGACACCTGCGGAAGCGGCTATGATCCCGCCCAAAGACGTACAAACAGCCCTTGCCAGGCATCAAACGGAGACAGACACTTCTGTGGCTGTGACAGGACCGGTATTGTATGTCAACATGTCCAGGTTCCAATAGTGTTTCATGTTTGCTAATGTATATTTTTGTGAAAAGGTCGAGTGCAAAGGTGGAAAGTGGACAGAGGTTCAAGACTGCCACACAAACTCGTGCCACGGTGGCACCGAGGGCGGAGCTAAATGCTAGGATGAGAACAGCGAGTGTGCTGACAATGGGACTAGATTGGGTTCGATGAATTTTCCGACTGAACTATGTGGACAGTTTGGAGGGATTCAACCAATTTGCTGGCTACATTTTGGAATTCAATCAAATCTAAGTTTAAACTTCGAATCATCATGTTACTAGTCACTCTTTACACAATTTACTCAGATATTGATTTGGCCCCATATTGTACAACTTCCATCGGGCCTGAATATCAGTGGACAATACTATGTTACAGGCTAGACATGCTTAAACGGTTATATTAGATGCAGGACAACTCAAGTGCTTTGCCTTGGCTATGTTCTATAGTAGGCTAAAACGGTAATAGGGACCGATTAGAATTTCCACAGCATGGTATGTGTTCCATAGGGGTATTTCAATATTTAAGACTTCGTATCTAGCGTCATAAAGCATACTCTTTCGCCAACAGCAATTCACGAACCACGTGGAGACGTTGAGAAATCAATCTCAAGTACTCGAGGTGGTTTATAGAATATATGAGGTATAATTCGATCTGGACTGGAATTGGTATTGTTTCAAGGCTAACCCTAATTGGGTATTCCGGCACCCCTGGCAAATGCAGTCAGCCTTCCGGATGTAAGATTAGCGCTGCTGATCCTGTCAGCTCGCGTTTGTGCAGTCAGCTTCACGCAAACTGCACGCATCATAAGAATGTCACCTATCTTGCAGAAGCATTATGGAATCCGACTAATTGAAGACTCATGCACGCGACAGGCGATCCATTTGTGTTCGGGACTTACGAGTTCTACAGGTTGTATCAGGTTGTGGAATAGTTATATATGCATGGTGACACAACTTTGTCTCGGAGCGGAAAAAAATACCAGCGGATCAACGATTTAGGGAATAGCAGGCATCTTTTCTATATTATTTATTACCTCCTGCCGGGAGCCGTGATCGGTTGACAATAGTTTCCGGACGAAGCAACGATCGGGTTCGTATTATCTCGAGGCGTTATTCCCCTGGAAGATCCATGGCCGATAAGACCTCCTTAGGTTACTACGCACTGTTCCTTCAGGCGGAAAAGAGACGCGAAGAGGCCAAAGCCCGAAGACTCTTCAAACCTCCACGGAGCTCATACGGCATTGCCACAACCTCCTCTCGCTGACTCTGACACAAAACTAGCCATCCATCACGCCATAAAACCATCCAATCCAAGTCGATGGAAAAAGAAGGAGACCCCTGAATAAAGTTGATGTGGAAGCTACTGCATGGGATATGATTAGACGCATGGAATTTTCGACCCGAGCGGGGGCCAGAGCGAGAATGCGGACAGTTATAATATAAGCCGTGTGCCCCCCTTCCATGCTGCGTTCCTACCTCCTTCCCTTTGTCAACAGAACATGCCGGAAGTGACCAAATTGCCTGGCCTTGAGCCAACGGCGATCGAGGGCCCAGCTGTCCCTCAAAATGAAGGTCCCGACGCGAACTACAAAGCCAAAGCTGAGGTTCTAAACCAAGCGATTCAGACGATCGGCATGGGCCGATACCAATGGCAGCTCTTTGTGGTGATCGGATTCGGCTGGGCGAGCGATAACTTGTGGCCGATTGTTACGTCCCTGATCCTCCCCGCAGTCTCAAACGAATTTCACCCCTCGAAAGCACCGCTTTTGACACTTGCGCAAAACATCGGGTTGCTGGTCGGTGCTGTGTTTTGGGGATTTGGATGCGACGTCTTCGGTCGCAGATGGGCGTTCAACTTGACGATCGGAATCACGGCGGTGTTTGGCCTGGTTGCGGCGGGATCGCCTAATTTCGCGGCCGTTTGTACTTTTGCGGCTTTGTGGTCTGTTGGCGTCGGTGGGAATCTGCCCGTGGACTCGGCCATCTTTCTCGAGTTCTTACCTGGATCTCATCAGTACCTGTTGACTATCTTATCGATTGACTGGGCTTTGGCCCAGGTCGTCGCCACTTTGATTGGTTGGCCGCTGCTTGGGTATAGGACTTGTGGTTCTGCAGAAGGATGTACGAAAGCCGAAAACATGGGATGGCGATGGTTTATTATCGCAATGGGTGGCATCGCAATGATCATGTTCGTCGGTCGGTTTGTGTTTTTCACGGTTTTTGAGTCGCCAAAATACCTCATGGGGAAGGGGAGGAACGAACAGGCTGTGGAGGTTGTCCACGAAGTTGCTCGAAGAAATGGAAAAGTCTCTGATCTATCGAGAACCGATCTGGACGCCTGGGACCAGGGCGAGATACAGAATTTCAGCGCGGCAAACATCGTCCGCCAACGCCTAGAAACCGTGCGGTTTGATCATCTCCGCGCTCTTTTCGATACCCCAAAACGAGCATGGGCTACAACCTCGATCATCCTCGTTTGGGCATTCATCGGTCTCGGCTTTCCACTATACAATGCATTCCTTCCATACATCCAGCAGTCCAGAGGCGCTGAATTTGGTGACGGATCGACATATATCACGTATCGGAATTCATTGATTATTGCCGTTATGGGCATCCCAGGCTGTCTGCTCGGTGGAGTGCTGGTTGAACTGCCACGCTTTGGCCGCAAGGGTGCTCTCTCTAGTTCAACGGCTATAACTGGAGCCTTTCTTCTTGCGTCAACAACAGCTACCACATCAAATGCTCTGCTAGGCTGGAACTGCGCCTTTAATTTCATGAGTAGTCTCATGTATGCCGTTTTATATGCATATACCCCCGAGATCTTTCTCACCAAGGACCGTGGTACGGGCAACGCATTGACCGCGTCTGCGAACCGGATCTTTGGCATCATGGCTCCTATTATTGCAATGTTTGCTGATCTCACAACCGCTGCTCCTGTTTATGTTAGCGGGGCGCTGTTCCTCGCAGCGGGAATTCTTGTGTTGTTCATGCCATATGAGTCTCGCGGAAAGGCGAGTCTGTAAATAGGTATGACGATGTATTCCTTTGTTGGACACGATGGGTTATTTACAATCTTGTCCTTCTATGTACGTCGTAATAGCCTTCATGATACGCACCAATTTACCTCTGCAGACAAGAATTCCGTCGGGAATGAGATCATCCAGCTACAGTTAATATAAAATCTCCTGGCCAGGTCCGAACGAAAAATGACATCATACCCTTGCAAACAAGACCAACAATAACCAACCAGTCATCCACCATTCGCCACATTCTTTTAATATAACAGACTTTCTTGAAACAATTAATCGGATAATAAGTACCCATGTGATCGGCGAATATCAACCAATAATAACATCCTATTATCTACACTGCGGGGGATATGGGGTACGTCAGTACGTCAGATGCATACATTCAAGATATTAGCCTCAAGATGGCTGTCATGGCTATGTAACCAGTTTCAGGGCGGTGATATAAATAAAGACAGCGATGCCTACCATCTCACTACATCAAGATCAAAACACTTGACACACATTCAACTATTTCAGTTACACACTCCATACCACACAAGTCACTCAAACCACACAGCCTCTTTCCACATAATCACCATGTCCAACGAACAGAACCGTACGTTCCCAATAACCAACCATCAAAATCCCACCCCAACTGACAAATATCCATAGCTGGACTCCTCGGCGGCCTAGGCGATACCTTGGGCAAGACAGTCGGCGGCGTGACAAATACAGTAGGCGGCACAGTCGGCGGTCTCGGCTCAACCGTGGGCAACGCAACATCAGGCCTTGGACAGACCGTGTCAGGCGCAACAGAGGGTGTCGGCAATACGGCGAAGGGCGCTGGACAGGGCGTACAGAACGGTGTTTCTAGTGTTGGGGGCCAGAAGCAGACAGGGGATAACCCTCTTGGATTGAATAACTAAGTTATCTTCGCCTGTGGGTATTATTTAGCGAATTCATGATACAGTCCTGCTTGTATTTTTTCTTTGATTCGGTATCTGGGGATCTCCCCGACTAGTCTAAAGTGCGGAGTATGAAATAGTTCCTAATTGGTAATTGACTGTAAGCAGTTCCCTAGTTCAGCCTTGCATTTCGCCCAGGTACATGTGTATCTGGCTACCAGGCCAGTTCTGGTTTGGCCATACAACTAGAAGCATCCAACTGCGAACAAAAGCTCTCATCTTCTGCTGAACCCTTCGAGAACTGAGGGTTCGGGGTGGCCGGCCAAATCTCGGATCCTCCTTGCTTTTCCTCATTTTTCCGGTGTTCTATGACCATTTGTCTGACGCTGCTTTGAAAGTGTATGGGGCCCTAATGTCGTGGTTAGCCGCTGTATTAGCACTGTCACAGTTCGATTTACCTTCTCTTTGCTAGGGTGTAGTTCGCCATTGGTAAAGACCCCTGCATTGAGGTTCTCCTGCGTTCCAACACAAAGCTCCTTGTCCTCGTCGAGAACCTGCCTGTAAAACGCGTTGATATTCTCAAATTCTTCATCTGTGGCATCCCGGTGACGGTAAACCTCATTTTCGATCTTGCTCGAGGTAGCAGAAACAGGGATCATACGCTGGATATAGAAGAATTTATCACTAGTTCGTTCTTAGTTAGCCCTGGTGTTGACTTTCACATTTGGATTTCCTATACTCACGTCACCGTAACAGAAGTCGTCGGATAGAAATACGTGATCGCCCGTCGAAACTGGCTATCCGAACCCTCCTTATTGAAGATATGATGTTCCATATACCGGGCCTTGGGCTCAACCCGATATTTTGGTAGATCCGACACGCCGTTGATAAGCGGATGCGAAGTAGCGCAATGGTAGCACTCATTATAATTCTCAATCACACCCTTCCAGTTCGCGTCCAATTCCATCTCCCAGTAATGGTCGAACTTGAATTCTGCGGCAAAGTCAAAGTCCTGCATCCGGGGCTCCTCGTCAACTTTCTCATAATCGTCTTCCCATTTCACATCCGTCTCACCGGCCTGCAGATTGACCCACACAAAGCCAGCTTTGTCGACGTGCACATGGATTGGGAATAGCGAGTGCTGGGTTTTGTCGAAATCGGGTACTGTCTCGAACCGCGGAGCCTTGGCGAGATTGCCCTTCAGGCCGTATGACCATCCGTGGTACTTGCAGCTGAGGATGGATGTAGTGCCGGAGGAAGACTGTACAACGGGGAATGCGCGGTGACGGCAGACGTTGTGGAAGCTGTTGATTGTGCCGTCGCGGTCCTGGATAAGGAAGAAGGAGAAGTTGGCGATTGTGAAAGAGAGATAATCGCCCGGTTTCTTGAAACGGCTGGAGTGGGTGAGCAGCATCCATCGCTTCGAGAAGATTGCCCGTCTTTCCAATTGGTACATTGCTTCTGAGCGATACCATGACGCTGGTAGACCATGTGGAGGGTCTTCTTTTGCCGTGGTTCCTGCGCTGAAAATCCGCCACATTTTGAATGGATGATATGTTTAGATCAAACTGGGATTACGAGCATAAAGTCTATATAGGTGCTCTTGGACATGTATCGATGTATCGTGAGGGGATTTAAAATGGGGGGTAACATGAACGATAAGATAATTTTATTTTATTTTCAATAAATTGGACCTTTTGCCCTAGATAGAGGTACGTGGAGCTTAGCGACTCCAAAATACCAAAGATGGGGGTCTACAGCCCTGACGATAACGCTAGTCCTAACGGCTTACCCCACGATCGACCGAGGGGGAAATAATATCCCTTACACGTAGGTCTATGCTACATCTCACCTTAAGAATGTTGGGTCTCACGTCTTGATTCTAACAGGAATCAAATATTAATTCTTGGAAAGTGTCTTGGATACTCAGCTAACAGCTTAAATCAGGGGGATTTGAACCATGCACTTGGAAATGACGTAGATCTTCACGCCATACTCCTTTTCGGCAGGTTGAAGAATGGCCGGGCGCTATTGGCAAAGGATACAGGAGAATTGAAATGACCATAGAAGAAAGATATCTCTCCAACAAAGAGACAGACACTAACAACAAACAGAAAGGAGGTGTGAGGCTCCTTTGTGGTGGGGAAACGGGGGCCTCAGCCATCAGCGGAACAAGCCAAACGGGGACATATATCATTCCCCATTACACCTCACCTGGTCATTGTTGACCCACCATTCCTGGATTCTCCAACTTCCAACTTCTGCTTTCCTTCTAGCTCTTCAGCCTAGTCAGCATGCCCAAAAAGATTCCCACGTTACATCGTCATGCGGGCCAACAGATCAAAGACTCCTTGGAAGCTCACAGCGAAGTTCTGAACGCTATCAACGATGTCTACAATGGGGCCGAAAGTCTCACCTCTATCGAGATCGACCCCGAATCCTACCAGTCTCTTCACATCGATGTTCGATCTCTTGAGATAGACGAGAATGGAAGACACACCTATGCTCCATATTCTGATCCCCACGGGCCGGTTTTCTTTGAACCCAAAGGTGCTGCATGGGTTCCCCCCATTGTTCTTACTAACCCCGACTGCCAGAGACGACTGACCTCACTTACTGAGCGATGGGAGGAATTCACAGATCGCCTCTCAAAAGAAGGTGCTAATTCCCAGGCATCGTATATCCATTCGGCTCTAGAATGGATGTTCTTTCAGTTCCGCCGACAGTTCTACCCCCCGGGAGATGACAGAGTTCCACCTAACCTTAGGCAAGAGTCTAGATGGCTGGAGAGGTAAGTGATATGGTTCCTTTACGATGCAATAGGTAGACCAACGTACGCTTGATAGTGGCAATAATGTCCCGTCAATCATCGCCGACGAGTTCTACCCAGCTATTTGGACATCGGTCCGATGGTCGCCGAACACCATGTTTGTGGCGAAGACACCGAGTGGTGGTCAGCCACGTCCCCCATATGTCATGATCACGATTGTGATTGGAGAGCAGCCTAGCGAAGGGCTGTTTCGGGCAGAGGTAATGACTATTACCACTGCTATGATCACACGACTTCAAAACGAGGACTTCTTGCAGTACAATACAATTCCGGTAAGTACAGGCTCAAGAAGTACTTATATGTTTTGAGGACTAATATATATCGATTTTAATATAGATTATGGCTATCACAGTCTTTGGCGGAATGAAAGCTCGTGTAATCGAAGCCCAATCCAGCCAAGATGGTCTAGTCATCAAGAAGACTCAGCTTTTTGATTTCTCGACTAACGAAGTCGCAAACGAGAGTATGAACATTCTGCTCGGATTCATGTCCGCCGACCTAGTCGGAAATCCCAGAATGCCCACAGTTCCCAAACCCACAGTTGTCATCGACATCCCTAAGGTTTGCACTCTTGATGTACTAGATGGGGCAAAAGATGCTGAACATGAATCAGAGCTCACAAAAAGAGCATACGCTTGCGAGGATGTTTGGATCCGTCCGGGCAAGGAAGTTTAGAAGGCCCAGGCTAGATGCAGAGCCACATGATTCAGAGGGAGTGGGCAAATAATCAAGTTCTAATGTTCAGTCTTTTCTCTTCCAACGGACAAGGATTAACTGTCTACCTTGAACCAAAGACGCCTTTCTTATGGACTCAGTATTTTAGTTAACCTATCAATGAATCTTTCCTAGGAGCTGATTTCATTTGCTTCATATTCTCGGCGCTATCTACAATAGAGGACATATATAATTATTGGGTTTCATTCAGTAGACACAAAGAACAATTTTATTTGGTAAAGGTAGCGAACAAGGTCTATTACATCAACCAGGAGAAAGCAGTGGACGTGGAGAACGGTTCAATGAATGTTGGCAGCAGCCGACTTGGCAACCAGTGTAGCGGCGACAAAAATGCGCCCGAATTGTGCCATTTGTCGAGCGTCGGATGTCGAAAAGGGACCAACCGTGTGCATGACGAGAAACACGTCGGTGTCAGTTCCGTTGTGCAAGTAACTTTCGTAGTTTTCGTTGAAGGGTGCAAAGGTCAAAAAAAATTGATGTCTGTCTTGCGAAACCAGCATGTAACTAGAAAGGGAGTGTGATCATTTAGTCGAATCCTATAGAGCCATTCATAGCGGTTTAAGCATTAAGCCGCGATCAAACTTACTGGTTGTTGAAAACAGCCATCTCTGCGGATGATTCCATTAACCACCCCGCGACCTGGCAGGCCCCTTGGGCGAAGATGGCGGCTGGATTCACCGTGCGCATTCTTTTTTTCACCTCCAAGATTCCAAATATTTTCGACGTGGTCTTTGACCGCAAAGCTCCGTCGGTGTAAACATTGTACGTCATGCTTGTAAACTTGCATGAAAAGTGAACTCGATTGAAAATCCATTCTAGGTTGGTTTTGACGAGGTGTGACAATGTCTGCAGAAGGATTATGGCGGCCGCGTTTGAGATTGCCTCATCCTCAACCTCTGGAAGATTGTGAGTTGAATGGGGCATGGCACTGCGAGGTCTTACCGCTGTGTTCTGAATTATGTCTCTGTCTCGCACCCCGCCAACAGTCATTGTCTGCTGTTGCAGACGCCTGGCAGTTGCAAAGGACCCTGGCCATCCGTCATCTGTGGCTTCCATATCATCGACAGAATCCTCGGTCCGAGGAGTTGTAGAAACCGGGACCATTCGGTAGAGGCATCAAGGATCCCATCAGCTTCGTTCAGGAGATCATTCGTAAGTCCAAAGCTATCACAATTCGTCCAGAAAAGTGTTGATAGAGGATGCTCTGGGAGAATATGACCGAAGCATGGCATATTGCGAGTCTGTTGCTTCCGAGGCGGATAAACACCAGTCTTTTGGGATGGTGTGTATGGTCATGTTCCTCAATCCAGGCTTACGCGAAACAAGCTCATTCCAATCATTATCATCTGCTGGGATACAGAAATCTTTGATTTTTGCGGCTTTGGTAGCCTTTGCCCGTCTCTAGGCTTCATCAGAGGACATCGTTTCAAGTCCTTGCACAAGTACGGTCAGTAAGGCACACGAAAGAGGTATTGGGAATGGATAGCTGAGACCCGATGCTAAAAGATATATACCTGTTAAGAATCTTGCCCTGGTGCTTGGAAAATCTCCGTCCAAATCAAAGTGAGATATCCAGATATGAATAGATCCTACTTGTTGCGCTAAGAAGGTAAGAAGAAGATAACAAGGAAGGTGACCGACTTTGGAAGGGTGTAAAGGGGAGTAGGATAGCAGAATGAGTTTTACACAGCTGCAAATGGTGACCAGGAAAAAGGACATGACAAACAGTATGACAAACGGTATAACAAAGGATATGGAAGAAGGCACATTTCTAGAAAGATCTCACTCAAACCTCACGCGAAAAGACAACCCAAAAGAACTTGGGATATCTGCTGCGAGTAACTAGCATACTTTATATTGCTGCTTTCATCATCTGAGTCTCAAGAACAAGCCATAGGCCAAGATAGGTCAAGTAATTGGAGCGAGCAACCTAGGAGGAAACTTCTAAAGACATATGTGTCTAAAATAATATGATTGTAGGTCAAATATAGCAGATTATAGCAGAGAATGACAAGAAAGACCAAGACAGGAATGGTGATATCAAACTATAGTCTCGAGTCAATAACACTAGTTCCTAGTGATTTACCCCATCGACGATCAACCTAAGCACGGTCAGTGAACTTCAGAGCCGCCGAAACAGTGAAACGATTACTTACGTCTGCAATGTGGTCGTATCCCAACAATTTGGGTGCTAAACCGGGGTCTCGCCAAGCCAATGCTTCTCCCTCGGGAGTTGGGACCATCCTCATCTTGCGATCTCTTTCTTCCTGTTCAGCGCCGTCATGTAGGTGATAGAGATATTGTTGAATATTTCCCCGTTCCACAATCATTTTCGTTCGTTGCTTGCGACACTCCTGGAAGATGGAAAGGGCGTGTTGTTTGGCCGTCAGGAACTCGGCCGAGGTTTTGGAGATTCCGGGGCTATTCGGGAGTCGAGAGAGGCATTCACCTAGAACTGCTCCATCCTCGAATGACATTCCGGCACTGTGGTAGTTAGTGAATGTGGAATTAAGTAAATATAAGGCTATCATACCCAGATGCCAGGTATGGCAATGTAGCGTGAACTGCGTCGCCTAATATAACAAACGCCCCGGAGGGATGAGTCCAGTCAAAGTCTCCAAATCGGATGCAAAGACGCCATTTCTGGACGGAATCGCAGAGCTTTAGTAGTTTGGGGATACTGGTATAGTCAGCCATGTGTCCATAAGTGAAGGTCATCGTAGAATGTACCGAGGATCCCAGTCTTTGAACAAAGCACACATCTCTTCCACATTCCCTTCAATCGTCGATGCCAGAGATTCTTCTGGAATATCGTCGGGGACAAGTAGGACCATATTGAACAATTCTCCACTACGAAGAACATAGTTCACTACACAATTAACGACAAAACCCAGACCAGGAAGAGAAACACATACCTGCATGAGCATCCGGACCTAACCAATAGTTGACTTGGGGATCTGTTACCAATTCCGCCAGATCAGGATCCTTAAGCATCTCCTTCGTAGACAACAGCAAACGGTATGCAAGATCACCAGTTTTGACCGGCGGATCGACTCTGCCGAGCAAACCTTCCGTCAATTTTCCAAACACTCCATCTGCCCCAATGACGAGATCTCCAGTCCAGTGTCTTCCATCCGACGCAGAAGCAGTAGCGATGGCCCCATCCTCGCTCACAGTGACATCCACCACACGAGCATTGCAGGTGATCCTAGCCCCCAGTTCGAGCGCTCTCTCAACCAGACATTTTTGCAGGTCCGCACGATGAAAGTCACGATACCAGGTGCCGGGATAATTACTCTCCGATGTGTGAAAATCCATGGACGAAATTGGATTGCCCTTCCATCCAAGGAAATTACAGACCCGGGGAAAGGTCATGTGTGGCGTAAGTGCCTCTTCAAGACCCCAATGTTGCAGTACACGCGAGCTATTGGGTAGGATCTGGATACCTGCGCCGACCTCCTTGATTTCCCGTGTTGCTTCTAGGACCTGGACCTCATGCCCAGCAAGGGCGCAACTAATCGCAGACCCGAGGCCTGCGAGACCTGCGCCGACAATGACAACCTTGAGTCGACATGACACGCAGCGGGTGGCTTGTTCTTTGATGGGGATTTGAGGGGCCATTGTGATTGGTGTGTAACAGAACCCGGATGAAAGATGTTTGAATTGTTGAATACCGGTCGTCTGTCAGACAGGACTACTTATGATAGATAGGCACATGGGATATGGTTACTCCATCTTTATTTCACTCTACTCCAACCATGTACAAAGATGGGGGTTAGCTTAGCGTGGGTATGCCGCTATCCGATAGCTTAAAAGGGAGGCATGTCTGAGGGGAAAGGCTTCACTACACAGCAAGACAATATTCAGCTACACTGCGATATGTCGAGAGTGAGTGTTTCCAACTTTTTCTTGGCCCGAGCTAACCGAGCCAGTTTTCTTTGAAAGGGCGCACAGCACTGGTTACAGGAGGTGCTCGGGGTTGCGGGCTAGCATTTGCGCGGGGGCTCGCCGAGGCCGGCGCTGATGTAGCTGTGTTTGATGTTATTTCGCCAGAGGAAGGATTCCATGCAATCGAAAAGGATTGCGGTGTCCGAACTGCGTATTACAAGTGGGTTGACTGTTCATTTCAGGTTTCATCGCTAACAACAACAGAGTCGATGTCTCATCCCAGGAGTCTTTGCAAGAAGGGTTCGCTAGCTTCCAGAAGGATTTTGAAAACGCTCTCGATATTTGCGTTCCTTGTGCTGGTATTAATCGACATCTTCCATTCCTCGAGTTTACCTACAAGGATCATCAGGATCTACTATCTATCAATGTCCTCGGGCTTTACTTCACTGCCCAGCTCGCAGCCAAGCAAATGATCGCGAACAAAACAAAGCACGGCAGCATCGTGTTAGTCGCCAGTATGGCGAGCCATATCGCTGTCCGCAGCCAGCTATGTTCGGCTTATTGTGGCACAAAGGGCGCAGTCAGATCGATGTGTCCCGCGATCGCCAAAGAGCTGGCTGAATATGTGAGTTGGGCGCAAAATATTGTACGGACGGTGATTAATTTAGTATAACAGGGTATCCGAGTCAATTCCATCTCTCCAGGATTCGTGAAAACAGAAATGACCGCTTCAGTAAGTTCCCACCAAGGCAGTGCACCAGGTTATCCGCTAATGGCCAGTTCCCCCATTTGCTCGAGGGCTGGAAGTCCGAAGTCATGAACGGTCGGATTGCCGAACCAGAAGATATCATGGGGGCGTGTGTATTCCTCGCAAGCGACGCGAGTTCGTACATGACCGGGTCGGACATTGTTGTGGACGGTGGGGTGACACGATGGTGATAAACATCTGCAGTGAAGAGTGGGGGTTTCCCCCGCAGCATCGATTTCAATAAATAGAGAAGATAGAAATGAATTAAGTGATTGTCAACCAACAATTGAATTCTATAATGTCACCTAGTGCAGACCACGAAGGCTACAGAATCGGCTCTGTCGATGCTTCTACTACCGTTGTGGTGGTGGGCGCGGGACCGTCGGGGCTGATGCTTGCGTATGTAAATTCCTTCTTCGACGGACGGTATACTAACACATTTGAAGATGTAATCTTGTTCGCTTTGGAATCGCCGTGGTGATTCTGGACGATCGTCCCGACAAGACATCCACAGGAAAGGCCGACGGAATGCAACCTAAGACCATCGAAACATTCAGACAGCTTCGTTTGGCAGACCCATTGCTGAGAAATGGAGCTCGGGTTTACGACATATCCTTCTGGGTAGGACTTAGGTCAATTCTGCTCCTGGATTTGGCTAACAAATTGGCAGGAGTCAACTGCCAACGACTCACTTCGACGCACAGGTCGCAAAGTCCACTACCCCGAGCACGTTGGTGCCTCCGACCCTTATATCTTGCTAGCCCATCAGGGGATGGTTGAGGAGGTCATGATTGACGATATGGAGGCACGGGGTGTGTCTATTACGCGGAATAGCAAATTCGTGTCTTGTTCGCCTGTGAATGGAACGACACAATTGGATATTATCTATGAGGATGTCACCACAAATACGGCTCACAAGATCAGAGCGAATTATCTGGTTGGTTGCGATGGAGCTCGATCGAAGGTTCGATCATTCATCCCGGATGCTGAGCTCGAGGGCGAATTAACAAACGCGGCGTGGGGAGTGCTGGATGGTATGTCTTTTCAATCTCTTGGCACGATTTTTGGCTCACCAAATAGGTGTGATCGATACGGACTTCCCTGATCTATGGAGTAAAGTGGCCTTGCGGTCTCATTCCGCTGGGTCGATCTTATGGATTCCGCGCGAGAAGGGTATGACTCGATTATATGTGGAGTTGAGTTCCACCGACGGGGAGCGAGTGGAAAAATCAAAGGCAACGACTGAATATGTCATGAGTCGCGCGAGGGAGGCAATGCATCCGTTCAGCCTAGAGTGGAAGACAGTGGAGTGGTTTGGAACATATGTTGTGGGCCAGCGGGTTGCAAAACGCTTCATGGATTCAGAGGCAAATATATTCATTGCAGGAGACGTATGTTGCACCGGATTGACCTCACATCACCCATAGTCTAATCAATATACAGGCCGGCCACTGTCACTCTGCTCTTGCAGCCCAAGGTGCCAACACGAGTATGCACGACAGCTTCAACCTCGCATGGAAGCTCAACCTCCTAGTCCGAGGACTGGCCAAGCCTTCCTTACTCCACACCTACGAAGAAGAAAGACAAAAGATAGCATACGACCTCATCAACTTCGATGTTGAACACTGCAAAGCGTTCGCAGCAGGCGATGAAGAATTGGCCAAGAACTTCGACAGCAATATTCGGTTCATATCCGGCATTGGAGCCGAATATGCTCCGGGAATGTTGACACAAGCGCCAACCACCACATTTCGCCTCCAGCCTGGAATGCTTCAGCTGCCAGCTAAGGTCACTCGCTATATTGATGCTAACCCAGTCGATATCGAGTTGGATGTTCCACTCTTGGGTCAATTCAAGATCTACATCTTTGTGCCGAATGTTTACCGCTCCCGGGAATCGCTGGAGAATATATGTGAACAGTTGCAATATATTCTTGCTGGTGTCAGCGTGCGAGCAAATCAGTCGTATGAGAAACATCCGAGGGGGCATTCCCCGTCAGATGAATTTGTTCAGGCTCAGCGCTACACTTCTGTCTCCAATGCTTTTACTTTCGCAATGGTCACGCAATCTTCCCAGTCTGAGTTTGAGATCGCTGATCTGCCAGAAATACTGCAGGCTAGTCGGTGGACATTATATGTCGACAATATTGGAGGGCCGAGTTGTACTGAGAAGTGGTTTGGGGATTTGAACCAGGAGAAAATTGGGATCGCTGTTGTGAGGCCTGACGGATATGTTGGGGCTATTGATACTTGGGACACCGAACAAGTGGGTGTCATAGGGCAGTGGTTGCAGGATTATTTCTCTTTCTTGGTATAATATTTGATAGGAGTAACTCTTTGGGCTTGCGTTTTAGAAATGAATATACAAATTGTGGTTATTGACACGTTCACGCCGTCTTTTCGACCTGACTTTTCCTCTATTTTGGGAATTTCTTTGTTCTAGTATGGTTATAACGAGGTTAGTCGTAGTGTTTCTATTTGTACACTTCTATTCGATTAATATGCTCTCCAATGTGGACATATAAATTGCGTATAATGTGGTCTACATTATCATCGCTTTTTGTACACCACATAGTCAACCGAGGTATTATGCTCTAACTAGATAGTGGGATGAAGTTGACGAGAAGAAATTAGCAATTCGATCGGATAGAACCGAGCGTAGTCACCATCAGTGAGATCAACAAGATATTTGTTGAGACTACGGAGTACGAGAGTTAGTATTCAGTGGTTGGTACCTAAAGCATACATTGGCAGTCAGGTCACCACCATATCCATCCCAAAAAGGTAGTGGAGACACATTCGAGGGTGGGGGAGCTCATTTTACAGTGGGGGTTGTTTTCCTTGATAGCCGAACCCTCAAGCCTCGCCATCATCCCACTATTCAAGCAGATCAATGATCCCACCTTCAATTAAAGTCAAGAATGGAACCGCCAAAAATGGCATACCATGGCCCCTCCAAGCTATAAATATTACCTTAGCCAAAGCCAAAATGTGCCAATCGCAAAGTAAATATATCCTTACGAAATGGGTTCAATCGCAGTCACCGATCCTTTGTTCGAGTCCGTCCGCTTGGGTGCTCTGACTCTCAAGCACCGTGTAGTTTTGGCACCGTTGACGCGGATGAGAGCGAGCAAGGAGTCCGAGGGTGTTTATGTCCCGAATGAGCTTAATGTCGAGTACTATTCGCAGCGAGCTTCGGATGGAGGATTTATGTTGACCGAGGCGACTCCGATTAGCAGATATGTATGTGAATTTTCTTCTGTTTGGGCTGTTTGGCCAGTTTGACCGGTTTGACTAGTTCGAGAAACTAACATTTTCAGGCCGCCGGATACCCAGGAGTCCCTGGCATCTTTACTTCCTCGCAAATCGCTGGCTGGAAGAAGGTTACCGATGCTGTGCATGCTAAGGGTGGCTATATATACTGTCAACTGTGGCATGTTGGCCGCGCAACTGTTTCCTCCTTGATTGAAGGAAGGGAAGTTCTTGGAGCCAGTGAGATCCCAATCAGCGGAAACGCACTCGATGGATCTGAGTACGCAGCTTCACCACCCCGGGCTATGACGGTGGAGGAAATCCAAGATACAGTGAAGGAGTATGCTGCTGCAGCAAAGCGAGCCCGCGAGGCTGGTTTCGATGGAGTGGAGGTTCACGGTAAGAATAACTCCAGCCTTGATGATGTGCTGTGACTAACGAATCAGGTGCCAATGGATATCTCCTTGACCAATTTCTCCACGACAACGTCAACACTCGCACCGACGAATACGGTGGCAGCATCGAAAAGCGATCTCGCATCATAATCGAAGTCCTCGAGGCCGTCACCGCCGAGATCGGAGCTGACCGTGTTGGCATCCGTCTGTCGCCCTACAATTATTTCCAAGATACACGGGACTCAAACCCCAACGTCCACTGGCTCGCGCTCTGTTCGCAGATTGCTGGACTGCCCGAGGAATCGCGGCCCGCATACGTGCACATGGTCGAGCCCCGATTCGATGAGGTGATGGATGAAGCGTCTAAGATCGACTCCCTGGCTTCGGACAAGCCGTCACTTGATGTGTTCCGGCCGACACTAAAGAAGGCAGGGGTCTCTCTCCTCGCGGCCGGAAACTTCAACGCCGAGAATGCGGGTGTCAAGCTTGCCACGGGTGGAGCGGATGCTATTGTGTTCGGTCGTTATTTCATCTCCAACCCTGATCTGCCGCGTCGGTTGAAGGAGGGTTTGCCTTTGACTCCTTATGATCGCACGACATTCTATGGTGCTGATCCTGCTCAGAAGGGTTATACCGATTATCCTTTCTATAGTAAATAGATAAAGATAAACCGCACTTGTTCAGATCAACATGTCGGATTGGGAAACTACATATTGACTATCAAATACAAAGAATACAAAGACTATCATGACAATCTCATCAAAACTTTCATAGCATCGTGAACAACAGCCCACCGGACAGTCGCTAGTTGTTTAGCCATAGCTCCTGCTAGAGGGCGAGGACAATATTTGCCAGATAAAACCGCTAGCTCCGGTAAGCTAGGACAATTAGTTAGCATCACGATCAACGAAGACAGATCAGTATTGGTTCGGTTGTCGTCGGATGTGAGATTAGGTCCACGATGAAAAACCCAGCAGGCCAACGTGCATAGATATAAACACCAGGGGAAGTGGAAGGAATCAGCCTGGTCCCAGTCATGAAGACTCAACACCGCATCCTGAAGTAATGATGCCGCTTGGCGTGCAGTACTGCAGGATGGTCCGGATTCCTCCTGTAGCCATCTTGTAATATTCCGCAGCGACCGTGCCTGATCGGCCTCGGTAACTGTCCGACCCAGGATCTGACACGCGCCAGCGACAATTTGCAAATCGAGGACCTCGACATTCAACGCGAGATACGCTGCATGGTAAAGGGCATACCCGGAGATCTTGAGCCCCGTGAACTGCCGAGGACTGGCAGTCTGAGCAAGTTTAATCGCCAGGCAATCGGCATCGAAGTCGACTTTCCACAGGTCATAGGACCGACCCATGCGCGGCGTCCAAGCCCCGACACGCTCGGGTGTCTCCGACCGTAGGGTTGTCTGATCGCGACGTTTCAGGTCCGCAGATACAGACATCAACCCATGTAGAACGACAATTCGAGCGAAAACATTCAGATCTCGAGGTCGGGCGACAGCCGCCGGTGTGATATATCCTTTCAAAACAGTCAGGAATTGCCTGTTCTCTTCACGAAAGGCGTGCTGCGACCACTCCCGAGCAGAGGAGGCGTCCCAGACTGCAGGACCACACGGTAATGAAGATCTGATCTCGAACGCAGACATACAGAGCGACTGCGAGAATAACACTGCGTGCTGTGTATCCCACATGAAGCAGTGTATAGCCACTCTCTTACGCTGTTCTTCTTCCATAGCCTGTCGCCACATTTGATCCAAATCCCCTGACTGATTGACGTTGGACAGGTCGCGTATCCCACAGCAGTTGCTGCGCCTGATCATTTTGATCAGCACACAGTGGAACAACTGTGCCCGCTCGCGCTGTTTGGGACCAGCTCGCATCTTCCCGAAACAGTCTATCAGAAGCATGGTTTGTAGGACCCACAGGTCAGCCTGAGGTGAGAAATCTGGATGACAGAGTAGCTGGCTTCGTAGAACATCGTGGACCTCCACTGCTAATTGATGAGCCTCACGCGTACCATATGTCGCGCCCATGAAGATAATCGAAGCGAGGAATACTGGTGGCGCGGTGCTTGGGTCAAACGTATGCTGGTGAATCAGAGGGTATGTCGTGTTGAACCGATCGAAGAACATGTCACAATATGCCTGGAGCGCGGGGAGTGTCAGGAGTGGCGAGTCGAGTACCATGGGATTTCCATCCATGCTTGTTGGATGTGCCTGTGCAACGAGTGCTAGAATCCCCTTTCGGTCTTCTTCAGATATTGTCGGTAGATTCATTGGAGGGTTAGGGTCCAGCGTCGCCGCACCAGACATCCAGTCCAGGTCTGGGAGACTGGGTACTGCAGGTGAGGCGGTCTCTCCGAATGTTTCGCCTCTGTCCATGATTGACGCCATGAGTAAGGCCGATTGGCCATCGTATTTCTCCGGTCCTTCGGCGGAATTCGAGTCGAATTGTTCCAAAATGGGCGCCGTGTCGAAACCGAGGGGGAGGTTGAATTGATGGAAAGCGTCGTCGAGAGAGGAAACATCGAACAGCCAATTATAATTAGACGTCGCGGCAAATGGGAGGTTGAAGTCGGTTGCTGCTGAGATTAGCGTACGAAACATGACCAACGAGCTGGAGTCACCCATACCGGTGTCCATTCCAAAATAATCCCCAATCCCATCCAACTCAACACCAAAAGAACCATCTGCTGCATCGAACTGTCCAGGCACTGGCTCAACATACTGCTCAAAAGGCCCAGCTGGCACCAACGAAGCCAGAAACGGGTCTGTGTCATCCATAGAGATCGACGTTGGATCAGTGCCCGAGCCAGGTGGTGACAAGGGAACATTATCATTAAAATACTCTACCTCATCTCGCAGTTCTGGCTCCTGACTAGTACTATTTGCCGAGATCGGGGATCGAGCTGCAGCCGCAGTCCTCAGTTGTCGCTGCGAAGGACGAACAACAATCGAACCGTCCTCGGCTCTGCGGGTTCTCTTTCGAGTCTTGAGTGTCCCCTGCCCAGGCCCTCCAGCTTCGAGATCCCGTTTCTGGTGTCGTTCCACATGGCGCGCTGGACCCATATCAGCACCTGCCTAGCCACCGAACCTAGTTTATTCTCTTACCTAGCAAATCTGAGCGTTGAAAGTGAACAGAGCAACGCTCGCAGGTATACCCATTGCGCGCCTGCTCGTGGTTGAGCGCATGGCGACGCAGGTGCTCTGCGCGCGTGAAGCTTTTGCTACAGCCTGGGTGTTGGCACGGATGCTTTTCCTGGTTTTTCATGCCTGAGTTGCCCATGTGCGAAACGAGCTCTGGCTGTGCACTTCAATGTCTTTGACAATAATTTACTCGGGGTAAACGCCGATGTCTACTGATAAGCATGCGGGGACAAAATGACGCTAATTCCCGATTGGTATAATTTGAAAAAGATATGCAAAGCTCTTATCGAGACGATTTCTTCCAATTGAGGTTTTGGCCACTTAGCGCTCTTCAATTTCCCACTAGGGCCGGGGGATTGCGGATGTTGGGGAAGTTCTCCAAATACCCCAGGGGCATCGTAAGATTTGAATACTTGATTTCGATCAGATAATAGTAGTCGACCGCCTATCGGCCTCGATTTATCTTGCTTGAAATGATACAATAGAGGTTATAGTTATATAATGACACTATGATGTCGTTAAAGATGTTATAACTAAAAGGGAATTAAAAATGACACGCAGTAGTAGAAAGCAATATATTTGTAAAAGCTTAGAGTCAAAAGAATAAACCATATAGGGATACTTTCTATGCATAGCCAGGGAAGTGAACTACACCAAGTAAAAGATGACGGTAAAATTTGGATTTCTCAGCTAGGGCTACTTGGCGATATCATGGACAACCCGAAGATATCAAGGGAAGTATCTCCACTCAGGACTCTTTTCGCCCTCCTTAAACTGACTAGTATCAGTCTGGTCCTCTCTCAGTCTTAGTCCCTGTTTGCTATCTCGGCGATGATTCTCCATGCGCATCCAGCCTCCTAATCCAAGAACTAGGACTATGCAGACTGCGTTGCAACAACAAGTTGCGATGAGAGTTGGCAGATACCTAGTCAGTTAGCGATGCCCCTTCATATAATAGCAGAGTATCTCACTTTGGTGCGTATTGAGTTCGGAATGTGCCCGCGCTCAGTACTCCGGCGAAATTCCCCAGTCCTACAAAAAAGCCCGTATTGGCAGCTCGTGAGTTTTCATGGACGTTGTTATTGTTGTGCCAGGCATGAACGAGACAGGACGGAATATATGATCCTGCTGCCATTAGGAAACAGGCAAAGTATGCTACTCCCTTGTTGTTCTGAACGTCAATCGCGATTAATATAATCATTCCGACGAATGAAATTGTCAAAGAAAAGACAATATGGAGCGTTCTTTCGCGGAAATAGTCGGAGGACTTGGCCACACATAGCAGGAATACTGCTCCGACAAGATTTGGCGCCACCGTCCATAAATTAGTCTTGACGACGGAATATCCCAATCGTTGAACGATCTGCTATCGTTAGCCAACGTTCGACAATACGCTCCTTGATACTCACTAAAGGGAAGAAATTCATTGCAGTGGCATACGCAACAGGGTATGTGAACGTAATCAAACACCACACTGGGAATTTCCAGTCGTTCCATGACTCAAAGCAAGCCTTGAGATTGAATGGAGTATTCACCTCAGACGAGGTATCACGAAGCAGACGTGCTGTCGCTGCCGCCCTCTCTCTATCAGTCAAAAACCATGCTTTCTGTGCCCCATCTGGGAGCACAAAAAACGCCACAGCTCCGGTAATTAATGTCATCGATCCTTCGATAATAAACAACCACTGCCACCCTTTGACTGCCGGGTGGTTTATTTGGAATACCCCAAAGGAGATTAATCCACTGAAAGCGGACGCTAGAACTGCAAATGACTGCATGATAGCCAGGCGGAATCCCATTTCCCCACGCTTGTAGAACAAGGTGAGGTAAAAGGTAGCTCCGGCGAAGAAACCGGCTTCAAAAACACCTAAGATTATGCGAATCGCAAGTAGCGAGCCAAAGTCCTTAGCGGCGCATTGACATAGTGCTAGAACTCCCCACACAATAGACACTTTCATTTATATGTCAGCAAGTCCAAGCAAATCTCAAAGGGTTGGAGAGTCTCACTAATAGACAGCATGATTCTTCCAGAAAACCTTTTGATCAAAAGGTTCCACGGCAGATCGAACAACCCGAATGGGATATAGAAGAGAAGAATCAATAGAGAGTAGTCATTTCCCTTCAGGTGCAAGTCTTTCTCAAGACCATCTGTCTTGGCATTTGCCAAATTGCTCTGCCAATGATGGTTAGCATGTTTCGGGAACGCATATGCCGTCTTCTCGGCACTTACCCGATCCATGCAGTCAAAAAAGTACATCTGTGCGATGACAAAAGCCTCGAAGTTAGCGATAATTCTACTAGGTATGTTTCTCATGCTAGATAACCTACCAAGCACAGCGTTGGGAGCACAATGAAATCAATTTTCCTGACATAGGACCTTTCGGCATCGCGATCTGTATAAGTGGTGGTTTCCCCTACGTTGACTTCGGGGTCAGCCACCTTGGCTGTTGCGGTTGATTTTAACTCAGACATCATAGTAACTATATTTTCAAAAGGGCTAATTCTCAAATATCTAGCCCACGGGTCAGTGGACAGGGTTCTTATACTAAGCAATATTTTCTCTCTTCTAACCTCCTAACTTTCACGTTCACATATGTACTACTAGTACAAAAAGCCATATCCAACCAGACGTGACCAATAGCCATATCTCCAGATTCTCCAAATAGGATATGGTTTGGACTTTTGACTTTTGTTCTTCCCATGTCTTCCCCGCACGCCCTTATCGCTGCGAGCTAAAACCGTTGACCCCCATTCTTGGACATTCTTGTCACCACCCCCATCTTTCATGGCTCATCCCAGAGCTCCAGCTACAGCTGGAGTAGCTCGAGTCGAGATGTCGGACTTCTGTGCGAGGTTGAACGGTCTTGAAGTAGCTATTATTCAATTCCACAGAAATATATTGAAAGCAGCACGATCTAAAAAAGCAAACATAAGCACACCTCATCGGTTAACTCACCACTACTATGTCTCTACCTGCAGCTCCACCCATCTTGGATTTCTCTCCATTCTATGGAGAGGATAGCGACGCAAAATCAAAGTTGATCGCAGAAGTGCGCAAATGTTGCCATTACAATGGCTTCTTTCAGATCACTGGCCACCGCATCCCACTGGACTTGCAGAACCGTGTCATGAATTGCTCCAGGCGCTTCTTTGATCTTCCCCTGGAGGAGAAATTGAAAATTGACAAGAGTAAGATCCTTACCCGCTCATCGCGAATTCTGCTAACCAAGTAGATCTCACCACTTTCAACAGAGGCTATGAACTCCTCCGGTCGCAAATGCTAGAAGTAGGCACCGGGCCAGAGCTGAAAGAAGGCCTGTACATCGGCGAGGAAATCCCCGAAGACCACCCCTACTATCTGGAGAAGAAACTGAACAGTGGCCCCAACCAGTGGCCCCCTACTGTTCCCAATAAGGAGGAGTTCCAAGAAACAACCATGGAATACTACCACGCGGTGTTCGATCTGGCAAAGGATGTTTTGGGGGTCCTGGCTCAAACGCTGGGAGTTGAATCAACATTCTTCGACCCTCTCACAGACGGAGCCGTTGCAACAATGCGATACCTGCACTATCCCGCGCAGCCGGAGGACACCGACGAGAAATTGAATCGCGGCATCGGAGCGCATACCGACTTTGGATGTATCACTCTCCTTCTACAGGATGAGGTCGATGGGTTGCAGGTGCTAGATGCGCCATCAGGTCAATGGCTGGATGTGAGTTATGACTGACGTAGTGTCTTGACCTTGGCTCTGACGGAGATTTATTGATAGGTCAAACCCGTTCCTGGAGCGTATGTCGTGAATTTGGGTAACCTCTTCATGCGCATGGCGAATGACAAATATAAATCCAACACCCATCGTGTGATCAACAAATCCGGTCGAGAGAGATACTCGATTCCGTTCTTTTTCAGTGGAAACCCGGACTATATCTGCGAGTGTTTGCCTAACTGTCGCGAAGAGGGGGAACCTGCCAAGTACGGTCCAATTACTGTGCAGGATATGGTTACAGCGTCTTACAAGGAGAGCTATGGCCGCGCTGAGGAATTCAAGAAGGATTTGGATTTACAGAAGGCAGATGTTATTCCGGTTGTTGCTGCGGTCGGTGCCTAGTGTTATCCATATTGCAATTATGAATATTTCTACATATTTGATTCTCTCGTACCGAAGAAAACCCAAAAACCCCAAAATAGAAGTAAGAAATTGCAATATTAACACATTCTACAGCACACAACACGAAAAAGCACTGAATAACCATGTATTGCTTGGCTCAATCGATCGATAAACCTAATAGAGTGAAGTGCAGTGAAGCCGCCAAGTAATTGTCGGCCTGGTCTAAGCTGTTGTGATATCGTAGATCCAACGCGTCCCGGGCCCAAGAGTGGGATGGCACCTTATTTTCTCTCCACTCTTGGTAGCCGGATCCATCCGTATCAACCTGAAGTGTATGGACTATCAGACAAGATGATCGATTGGCAGCAACATCGTAGCCCTAAAAGAGAACGACACTTGACCCGAATATGTCTACATTGAGAGCAAGAAATTCCTCACTCAATTTCCAATTGCAAGATGGACGAAATCCAAGTCGACAAGAAGCAGATCCGGCCAACAGAGAGCAGCACTCCGGACTATGAGGTTTCTAAGCTAACGACTATTGATGATTATGAGGTTGAGGATTTCTACGGATCCTCTACCACTAAGGCATACCGCTTGAAGTCTGAGTTAGTAGGAAAATGCCTGGAGGAAATTGGAATGGGCTGGTATTCACTCCTCTCAATCTTGAGCAGTTGATTGCGGTACTGATATCCTGGCACTACTAGGTTCCAATGGAAACTCTTCGTGGTCACCGGTTTCGGATGGATAGTCGATAATGTATGCAAGATCACTGCTTTCCTCCTGAAATCACTCTTGCTAACATATACTTCGAATAGTTTGCATCACAGGGCATTGGAAGTGTCCAGCCACCTATCAAGCAAGAGTTCACTGGTATCGTCCAAGTCAGCTACAGTTCCGTTGCGTATTATGTTGGCCTCATTTTGGGTGCTTCGTTTTGGGGTCTATCGAGCGATCTCATTGGACGCAAGCCAGCCTTCAATTGTACGCTACTCATTGCTGGCATATTTCTGTGTGCCGCTGCTGGTTCAATGAACTTCATTGCATTCAGTGCACTTTGGGCAGTCATTGGAACTGCAGCCGGTGGAAATGTGCCTGTTGATTCGATGATATTTCTAGAATTCGTCCCAGGAAGGTGAGAGTTTTCAAGTTGACGATATTACTGTGAGCCGCTGCTAACTCAAAGACCTCCAGTCATCAGTATCTTCTCACAGCTCTTTCGGCTTGGTGGAATCTGAGTCAACTTATTGTCTCCTTGATTTCTTGGGTATTCCTAGCCCACTTTAGTTGTCCAACTGATGCCACCCCAGAAACATGTTCTCGAAGCCAGAACATGGGATGGTAAGAGCCCCATGATACACAGTGCATTTCCACGCTAATTTCGAATCATTAGGAGATACACACTCATCACTCTAGGAGGTCTAGCCCTCGCATTTACCATCATACGCATTTTTGTTTTCAAACTCCCTGAAACCCCCAGATATCTGCTCTCCCAGGGAAGAGATCAGGATGCGGTCAACGCCATTAATTATGTTGCGAAACAAAATGGAAAGCCAGAGCCCCTGACGCTTGAGATGCTTCAAGAAATCGATGCCAGGTTTGGAAATACTCCCAGCGAAGGAGAGTCTAAGCGAATGTCAACAAAAGAAATTGTGAAGGAGAACATGCAAGCGTTCCGAGGGGAGCACTACCGTGCACTGTTCGCAACTCCAAAGCTCGGTAGACAGACATTGATCATTTGGGCCATCTGGTTGACAGTCGGTAAGTGAGACGCAATTCCTTATTATATCTCTACTCACACTATTCAGGAATCGCATACCCGCTGTTCTTCGCCTTCTTACCTTCCTACCTTGCGACCAAATTCACAGAAAAATCGTCTCTCTCCCTAACATATCGCAACTACTGCATCACATCAGCTGTCGGAATAGTCGGACCATTATCTGCCGCAGTATCGGTTAATACCCGCATGGGAAGAAGATGGATGATGTCAATTTCAGCCGCTGTCACAGGCGTGTTCCTCTTCGCATATGTCGGAGTCAACACTCCATCAGCCGACTTGGCATTTTCTTGTGTTACCAGCCTTCTAGGCAATTTCGGTGAGACTGCTATCATGGCCGATGTCTAATTTCATAGCTAATCAGTGTCACAGAATACGCTATTATGTACGCGTTCACTCCAGAATCATTCCCAGCTCCTCATCGTGGCACGGCTTGCGGAACAGCGGCTGCGCTCCTTCGATTTGGAGGACTCGTCGCCAGTATTATCTCGTCGCAGACCGGTTTTACCACTGCACCAATCTATGCGAGCGCGGCATTGTGGATTGTTGTCGGAGTTTTGTGTCTGGGATTGCCGTTTGAGACACATGGACACGATGCGCTATGATGGATAGGCCGAGAAGATGCTTTGGGATTTTTTCGTATACCATCATAGATTGGAATTTGGATGGATGGTTATACTAAGATATTATTCAATCACTTGGGCTCAAATAAATACATTAATACATTAGTTACTCCATCATGTCTGGAGTCATACCTTCTTTCCTGTCAATATCAAACATTCTATGCTTTCCCTCCCAAAGTTCATAACCAATTAATTAGGGTATTCGACATGCTATACCTGACTAGTAGTATTCTAAATAGCCAACACATGACTTAGGACCGTACCTGGTATTTAGAGATTACCTGTTATGTCAATAACATGAAGCTATTCAGAGATCACATGATCTTCCCCATGAATTTATTCAAATTAACTACTACCAATAGGAAAAAAAAATTAATTATGAAAACGGCGTTTAAATGCTAGCTAGCAGAGAGTATTTGATTCGAACCCACGATTTAATTTTTCGATCTTCATGGTGACAGATAGATTAGGGGATCAGGTGATCTCTGAATAGGGTCGTAAGTCATGTGATGCGTATTCAGAATACTAGAGTGATACTAAACCACTTCGGGAAATCCACGCAGTACGCAAGCTTCAAAGGTGGGGGTTGTCCCAATTCATTCGCACGATAAGAGCTCTGATCTTTGCCTATCTTTTTTAATACCATAGCTTGCTCCTACCGACTCGCAATCGAAGAAATATTGGAATTTATCAAAGCCTCATCTAAATGGGGTGTCATGAGAGTGGGTCGGATTTGAGGAAAGGAAACTTTGAGGGATTGATGTCACGTTCTACAGAGTACAATAGATCGATATCAAATGCTTCATGTTTGCATTGTTTACTTCATTAGACAGATTGTTTGCTAGGTCACTAAGCGAGAAGGTTCAAGGTTTGCAACGTTTGCAAAGTGGTCAGCTATATCAACTGGTTGCTTCCACTTTACAACTTGCTTCTTCTTTCTTTCTCCATCTTAGTTATTTAATTGAATTTACTTTTTCTTTTTAAAGGTCGATCTGGCGCCTCACAATCGACACAGCTTAGAATTCTGAACCATTTATTTTGAAGATTCGTGTGAGACCGCGAGACCGCAGTTACAGTCATGAGTCGTTCATCTACGTGGAATTTATATTGTGGCCTTTGGCCATTGCCTGCTTATATAGCTGACTACTGCTACAAACATGGCAGATATCAATCATCTCGCTTAGCTAGCAAACATCTATGAACCAAGGAAAGAAGCAACAGCAAACAGGAAGCAAGCAAGCAAACAAGTCAAAAAGATCATGACATTTAGCATCAACCCTCCTTCTCACCACCTCCAGCCCTCGTACTTATCAGTGGTGATATCATTCGCCATGGGAACGTACTTCTCATAGTTCGAGGAGAGCAGGACCAGGTCATATATCACGAAGTTGATGTCTGTCCATTCGTACTCTGGGTCGATCTCTATAGCCATATCGAAACCGGTGATTTTGCTATGTAATGTTAGTTCAAGATCCAAGAGTATTCAGGGTATAGGAGACCATATATATCACCTGTGTCTTTATCAAGTATGATATTTAATGATTCCGGTGATAAAAGCATGAACCTATACCTCAGAATTTCCCTAATTCTAGTCAGCTCGAAAGATGTGATTATAATTAGACTATATAACAAATATATAGGCAACTTTGAATTTATCATGGATAGATTTGCGTTTATATAAGGGAAAGCTCCAGAACTCCTCAAATTCAAGAGGTTCTCCTCGGACCTTTTCGAATATAAGGTGAATAATATATCCGCGGGGGATAACGTCGTTCACGCCTTGGCTATTGATTTGATATCCAAGGAGTTTAGGGATAGCAGTACACTCGGTCTCTGTAAACTTCTTCAAGGCATCTAGTTCCACGAAAGATTCAATGGTAGCCTGCTTCTTCCGATTCTCTAAATTATTAAACTCAGTGCCATCCAGAGGGATTTCTTTATAGATACAGATGAAGGCGAGATCAAATCCGGGGTCATCTATACATCGACAAAGATATGTTCCAGTAGTAGATACAGAACCCATGCCTTGGTTAAAATCCTCTGGGGTAATTGGGCATGGTCCCTCACTCAGCCTCTCCATGATAATCCATTCGTGTGTTTTGTAAAGAGAAGATAATAAAAGGTCATCAGGATCAGGGCAGTATGTGGTGATCGTTTCACCAAGCATCTTGGGAAGAACTAGACGAGGTTCTCTTTCGGGCATCGTGAGCGTGATGGGGGGAAGATGACAGGAAATGAAGAGGGAAATGACGACAAAGGTGTGCGATCAATTTAGAGTTAACGCCAGGTAGCAAAATCCCTATTGAGGACTGGTTAAAAACTTGCAGGCACATATCCATGGATCCATGTCGGCCTATTGTAACTATACCAGAACAAGTCATGGTGGTGATAGATCACAAGCTAGAGCAGACGACCTCAAGTGGGGTAGTCGGAGTCAATCATGAGTGGGATCAAGATAAATAGCTATCCATAACATGAAGATATTTTCAATACGACAAAATCCGATTGAACGCCTTTAGGGATCACCCCACCTTTGTCTGTCGTGGTGCATGGTTGGGGGTAGAGAACCATATATATTTCCATCAACAAAACCTCGCCTACACCTGATTCCAATCAATTTCCCATTATTTTTTCTTAATCTTCGCCTCGACCTCCCTGTCATCAGCAATAAATCAAACCCAATCACCATGGGCAAAAAGCGAGTTCTTGTCGGCTACGGTGTTGACATCGACGCAGTAGCTGGCTGGCTAGGCTCATACGGAGGCGAGGATAGCGTGAGCGATATCAGTCGAGGTAAGCTAATGTGTCATTGAGATCGTCACTCTCACATCGACAAAACTCATAAAAATCAGGTCTCTGGGCAGGACACATCGGCACACCGCGCGTGCTGAAGCTTTTCGAAAAATACAATATCAAAGCAACATGGTTCATCCCAGGTCACACCCTAGACACCTTTCCAGAAGAATGTGCTATGGTCCGGGACGCAGGCCACGAGATCGGGTTGCACGGCTACTCGCATGAAAACCCCTGTGACTTGTCTACGGAGCAACAGCGCGACATCCTCGACAAGACATATAAGATGTTGACTGAGTTCTGCGGAAAGCCACCACGCGGAATTGTCGCGCCGTGGTGGGAGGCTAGTGCAGAGATGGTTGAGCTCTTGCTCGCTTATGGAATTGAATATGATCATTCCATGTCCCATGAGGATTGTCAGATGTACTGGCTGCGGACTGGGGATACATGGACGAAAATTGACTACAAGCAGAAGGCGGAGACGTGGATGAAACCACTCGTCAGGGGCAATACTACTGGACTTGTGGAGATACCTGGCAGTTGGTATATTGATGATTTGCCGCCGATGATGTTTATCAAGAATTCGGCGAATAGCCATGGATGGGTTAATCCGCGTGATGTTGAGGATATTTGGAGGGTTGGTCTCTGCCTACATCCAGAACCAGGAGAATTTGGTCTGACGTGGTTCTTTTAATACAGGATCACTTCGACTATTTCTATCGAGAATACGACGAGTTTGTCTTCCCCATGACGATTCATCCCGATGTCTCAGGTCGGCCTCATGTTTTGCTCATGCACGAAAGGTACGTTCATATTCATACACCCAAGGACCGTTGGCCAACGTGAGACTAATGCAATATATGCAGGCTCATTGAATATATCAATAGTCATGAGGGAGTGGAGTGGGTTACGTTCGAACAAATGTGCGATGAGTTCAAAGGGAAGAACCAGCCACCTCTAGGTGCACTCATGCCTGCTGCTCCAGGAGCGATTGCAAAAGCACAGGCACAAGATCAACTCTAGACTAGGATAAATGGTGCTTAAGAGTTATGAGATATCCAAATTATCCGCCCGGTGACGCGAAATTTTTAAAAGTATTTGTAAAAGTCAAATTAGGTTCTCTTTACAAAGTTCAAGGTCTCCTCTCAAATATGACCCAGTACCAATAGGCCAACAAAAAGTGCACTTATTACCTTGCACACCTCAACAACGGGGCAATACGCCTGTTCAGCCTTGAGGGTATCATACCAGGCAGCTATGTCCAGCCTGAAGACAGCGTTGAACATCGAGGTAGTAGTCTGCGGCCTGCTGTTCCTGCATGTTAGCAGTATAGTATGGCTCCTCCGCGAAGCGAATATCAAGTCCTGTGATAATAACATCCAAATCAGCCTTGATGTAAGCCTTCTTAGTAGCGAGCTGATCGGCAAGCGATAACGTCTGGCCGACAACAAAGTGGGACTTAAGACCGACAGCATTAATGTGGATACCACGCTTGCGGAGATTGTCAACAGTATCGCAGTCCGAATTGGTGTACTTATAGACTTTGAGTTGAAATTATTCGGCATGTATTTGATGCAATTCAACCGGGAGGACCAATCGCCGAGGAAACAGAGGGAACTTTCGCTTCTTCGACGTATTCTGCGAGCTCGTCACGCCTTTGAAGCACCCTTAATTGATTTAATATTTCCCAAACCAACTCTGCGAAGAAGTTCTTATGAAGAGGGCTCGGCAGGCATTCGGGCAGATAGACGGGAAAGGCTTGGATGATAATCGTAACTATCTTTTCGATGATTTGAGTAAGCAAGAAATGAGGTGAGTGAGCTGGTGGAGCCAATCCACTGGACCTTGTCTTCCACATAACATTGAAGAATTTCATCAGTATCCAGCATTCGCATAAATCTAGCATAATAGCAAAGATGGAACCGCTGTTCAAGTGCTTGATCGCTGGCCGGCTCGATGATGTCGAGGACTCGACGATGACCTGGGTGATTGTTGAGGAAAGCTTTTCTCCATGTCGCGAAGGAGTTAATGGGGGCTCATAAAGGGGGGGGGGGGGGGGGGGGGGGGGGGGGGGGGGGGGGGGGGGGGGGGGGGGGGGGGGGGGGGGGGGGGGGTGGGGGGGGGGGGGGGGGGGGGTAG